TGTGCTCCTAGGAGGCCCTTCCCGCCTCCCCCTCCCATCGTCTGTCGCTGGCCTGCGCACTCACCTCGTCCCCCCAGGCTGGCTCGCTCCCCGCCTGCTACCCCAAAGCTGCAGCCTCCGCAGCAGCCGCACTGGTTCTATCATGGCCACGGGAGAAAACAAACAGGGCTGCTGGGGACCAGGAGTGAGGCGGGCACGAGGGAGGCAAGTCAATCCAGGAGCTGAAATCCACGTCTCCACTGAGGGGACTGGAAACAGGAGAGGGCAGCAAAGGTCCTCGCTTGCCCCAGAGGAAGCTCGGGAGCCAAAGTCAAGTCAGAGGCCAGGGTCTGCGGGGGAACCAAGGCCATCATTTTTCATGGGACATGGGTTACAAAAAGAAACAGCAGAAATGCAACAGCGTTATGAAGGCTCAATGAGGAAGTTTAAGAAATAATTTTTCTTAGAATTTTTCATACAGGAATTTGAACTTTGAGAAAATCTGGAGATGTTTGGCAGTTTGAGGTTTGGGGAAGAGCTTTTCTATGACCTGACAGATGATGAGTAAAGGAAAACACTTGGACTTAAGCAAATAAAAAGAGGTATTTTTAAAGGGTCATTGAACCGGCTGTCAGGCCCTCCTCATTCACACCTGCTACCCCCAGCAGCAAAGGAGCCAAGCCTTTGAGAACGGAACCTTCCGTGAAGATCGCACACTTCGGCGAGCCCCGGAGTCAGACGGGCAGCTTGCTGGGAACGCAGAGGCCCGGGCTCTTCCCCCGAAATTCTGACGCAATGGGTCTGGGGGGACCATGGGTCTGCAGGCCATGAACATCCCCAAGAGGATGGTGCGGTTGGGCCACTGGTTCCTACTAAGTGAGATGCTGGCTCTCACGGGGCTCCTCAAACTTCTGTTAAGTCACCCAGAGGACTTGTTTGAAGATTCTGGTTCCATCCCTTATGGATTCTGATTTGCCAGCAAGGACCACGTGATACTCAACAGGGAAGTCTGGAAAACGGTGGTTTACAAGAACTCCCTAGGGTACTTGAAAATGGACCAATTTGGGGTCCCACCTCCAGAGATTCTAATTCACTTGGTCCGAATGAGTCAGATCAGATTCACCAGGAATATTTGATCCAAATAACAGCAGCTATGTATTTTTTTTAAAGACTTTATTTTGAGAGAGAGGGAGGGAGGGAGAGAGGGAAAGAAACATCACATTGACTGCCTCTCGCACTCACCCCAATAGGACCAGCAGCACCCAGGAGGGTGCTCTGACCAGGAATCTAACCTGGCGACCTTTCACTTTGTGGGATGACACTCAGCACACTGTGCCACGCAGGTCAGGGCAGCGGCCATGTATCTGAGTCAACAGCTCTGGCTACAAGTTTTGTCAAAAGTACAAATTAGGAGGCTTCTGGAAAGCTGAAGTGAAAAGTGTCCTATTTTTTAAAATCGCATCAGATACTCTTTTCACGGGAACATAAAATGTAATGGTTTGGGCCAGCAACATGTTACATTCCTGGTTAACAGAAACATGAATACCACGGCTCTCACATTAGTGTCTACAGCAGGTTCAGTGACTCAGAACTGAGAGCTAGTTCCCTCTCAGCACAAAACGTGGGAGATGTTTTGGGGATCCTCACAACCTCTTCGTTCAGTTTTAAAGTCTGTGTACTGCATTTTGGAACCCTAAGAAGATGGAAAAGGACTCTTCTCGAATGATATGACTGAAGAGAAAGCTCCTCAATGAATATTTAAATCTCTAGGTAGAGGACACCTTTATAGCCAAAGGAGCTTCTGGCCTGATTTCACTTTTCAGGATGGTGACAGTTACAGAGGGCACTGCAGGGCGGCCTAGCTAAGCACTGTCACTAGCTCAGCTTCCTCTGGGAAAAGCTACAGAGCCACTTACTTAAAGAGGGTGGAGTAGGTACATATATAATAGACATTAAAAGAGACAGGTAATTCCAAGTTGGCAAGAAAAGTTATATTCCATTTTCAGTTCTAAGCAACTCATAGCGTTGATTTTAATCAGACTGAGTGAAAACAGCCCTAGCCCTGGTCAGTGTGGCTCAGTTGGTGGAAGCGGGTTCAATACCCGCTCAGGGCATATACCCAGGTTGCGGGTTCCATCCCCGGTCAGGGTGCCTACAAGACAACGAATCAATGTTTCTCTCTCTCCCTCTTTCTCTCTTTAAAAGCAATGGAAAAAAAATGTCCTTGAGTGAGAATAAAAATATAATTACAACCCCACCCCCCCACAACACCCAGCCCTAATCGAATTTCTAAATGTTTCCTTCTGAATGAAGTGCAATCCACACAGGGAATGCACCTTTGCACCAGCGAGGGCAGCCCGGAGAGGGGCCTGCCTGTGGGACGCAGGCTCCTTGTCTAAGAGCAATTCACCTCAGCTGAAATGCATAAAGGCTTCCGGGAAACCGTGATTAGCAGCTTTGCACTCAGAACCCAGGCTCATGAATCGCTCCCTACCAAACGCAGGGGTCAGCTAGGAGCCGCAATAAAACAGTAAACGTTCACCGTCTTGTTAGCCACTGCTGGCTCATTCTAATTCCTTCCTGCACCGCACTTCACAATTACCCTTAGCTGTTCGGATGAAACAGACAAGTGTGAATTCATGGAGAACATAAGTTCTATTTGCGAAGTCACAAATTTTCAGAAATGCTTCTGAATACAACATAGATGATGGAAACATAAAACCCAGTGAATTCAACCACTCTCCCCTTTTAATCAGTTTTACAGAATATCCCATGTTAGCAGTCACATCAGGGGACAGGACAGGTTCCCTGCACATGACCGTGCAGGCTCATTCACTGCGGTGTGGGAAAGGTTTCAGCAGTTTTGACAGGAGAGGCAGGACAAAGCTTTAATACAGGTGACGCCCAGGAAGACAGAGTATCAACTTGGCAGAGGGGAATTCCTAGGGCGTGTGGCCCCTGCCCACACTGCCTTCCAGGGACCCAGGGGAGAGGCCTCCTCTCTCGGGGACTCCTAAGACCCAGCAGCCCCATGGTGACTCCACAGCTCAACCAATCAACCTCGACGTGGAAGTCAACTCTCCCTCCCTTTGCCTGAGTGTTTTCTAGAGTAAAAAAACGGTTCCTGGCCATCCTGCTTCTTGGGTCACCTACATCCGGCCAGGGGTGGCCAACCTGCGGCCCACAGGCCACATGCAGCTCAGGATGGCGATGAATGTGGCCCAACAGAAAATTGTAAATTTACTTAAAACACCATGAGATTTTTTTTTGTTTTCGTTAATGTCTGTGTATTTAATATGTGGCCCAAGACAATGCTTCTTCTTCCAGTGTGGCCCAGAGATGCCAAAAGGTTAGGCACCCCTGTAAGATATAAGTAATTATTAATCTGATAAAGTTGTCAAGCATTTTGGCATTCACAATACCTCAAACATTGCCAGTAATCTACTTAAGAATTCTTTGAACTTCAAAATTGTTTCTGATTCCCCCACAAATGATGGCAATTGCATAGAATAAATCCACTAGACATAAAAAAAAAAACACTACAAAGACTTTTCTCTGCTAATACCAGTCTTTTATAATGTGAATTGAATAATGGATCCAAAAGCTTCAGAAAAAGGATAGCAAAAAAGATGTCTTTTTTTTAATGCCATATAGCTTAAGCTGATTTAAAACAAAGGCCTTAGACTAATTTTCTAATTTTTTTAATTGAAATAAGCTAATGGCTCGTGTAAAGATTTTTTTATTAAAATAAAAAAAAAAAGTAAAGCAGAATGGAGAGAGGGAGAGAAGGCCCAGGAAGCACCCTGGCCACACTGCCATCACTGCTCTGCTCCAAGTGTGGCCTTCCGTTCCCTTTCACACCCGATCACATGAGCGGGAGTTTTAAAAACCTCACTTGTTTAAAATACCGAGCTGGCCTTTACTTGGCCAAACTGGAATTCCCAGGGCAGGTGCTACTCAGCTGGATTCTGACGGCTGGATCCTGTCTGGGCCAGGTTTTCTGTTCCTGCTTATGCACCTCAGGAACAGGTCCTCATTAAACAAAGGCTTTTGGGAACAACAGGGATAAAAAACCATGCATCACATCTTCTGTCAGTTCCTCACAGAGCCTAATTCTCTTACTACAGTGATTTAATATCCGTATAAAAAAGGCTTTCATAAGCAAGTTTTTAAAAATAAAAAGTGACTGAGATTTTACCTAGCGGAGAAAAAGAATGTTTACCAGGTTTTTTTAAAAAAAGTAATTTTACAAGGAAAGACAATCTTAAATCTGTATTTCTACTAAACTTTCTCCAGAAGCAGAATATTAACACAAAGTATGAATTATAAAATTAGTTTAATTCTACAAGATTTCAGTGCACTGAGCTTCTCACTCTGCGTTTTACATTCAGTAGCTTTGTAAATTCCAGGCGATCAATTAGTGGCTACCGAGTGTTCCCAGGGGTGGCTGGGTGCTGTTGCACTAATACTTCATGTAAAAGCAGCACTGGGAGTTAGTACAGTAAGAAACTTTCGGAGAACAACTCTGCCTCTTTCCTCAAAGAGCGAAGTCAAATTATTCCCTACCTCATACCCCACCCCTGCCATGCAGGTAGTTGCCAATTCCTAAATTCTGAAGTCAACCCTAAAATGAATCCCGTCATGACATCAAACCAGTGATGGTGACTGCCGAGTGGCGCTTGCTCCCGAAGGTGTCCCAAGGGAGCCTTCGCTGCCCCTTCAAGAGCTGGGCTGTGCGTGTCTGCCAGTGCCCGAGTCCAGCCCAAGCACCTGTCTCCATCTCTGGGGCTCTGCTCTGACCACGGGCGCGAGCGCCGCAGGTTCCCGTCTCCCGCCTCCAGCGCAGCCCTACGGCCCAAACTCCACACCTGCCGCCCAGAAGAGAGCCCTGTGCCGTGTCCACATCTTCACGTTTATCTCCACGGTGATAACATGGAGTAGAGTCAGCGATCACTCACTGACTTCCTCTCACTGACTTCCGAGTTAAATCCCATAACAATGAACTTCAACTATTTCAAGTCTTCTGTTGACTTAACGTTTATTGAATCAAATGCTGAAGAAAATGGACTCCCTTTTAGATCTTAGCATGTTAGACAGTTGTCTTGTAAAATATTTATGTTGGGATTTGACTTCTAACACCTGGCAAGTTTGACAGTCACCGCCCCACAAAGCACATGACTCTGTACACAGATTTCTTGACCTAACATTCAAAAGGACATTTTTGTAGTACTAGTTTAATTTTGATCTCTCCCTAAAAGGCAGAAACCACATCCCACACTCCTATGCAACTTCTTATTTTGCTGTTTCAAAAAAAAAAGGAAAAGAGGTGGGGGCGTAGAGAAACCCCAGCTTCCTCAGGCACGAGACCCGGAGCCCTTGGAGGGAGGGAAAGACAACCTCTGTCCTCACCTGCTCCAGGTGTCTGTCCCAGTTCCCTTCAGAGGGCCTGAAGTGCTGTCAGCAACAAGGGACTCAAAGCATGGGGCCACGTTTGTTGTAAAAAGCCGCTCAACGTGACCAGGAAACAGACACAGTGAAGCCCGTCAGTGACGGGCGGGCACAAGGCTTGTGCCTGGAGCTTCAGTGTGCCTCCGTGGCCAGCTTCTCAGACACCGAAGCCGAGTCCTGTTAACTATCAACATATAATCAAAACAAAACATTGAAATACATACTTTCCTTCAGAATAGGGAAATAAAGGCACAGAAACCTGCCAAAATAGATTTTTTTCCATAAGAATAGTATGGTTGATTAAAATAGTTTATCACTAATAAAACTTGTATCACTAGAGCAGACAATACAAATTAGTTTTTTTAAAAAAATGACATTCACTGAATTCCTGGTCTGTGCATTCAATGTGAATCATCATCAAAAATATATTACAATTACAGGGTTGTAAGGAGTTCTGTTGGTGGTTTCTACGCTATTATTTAGTATTTCAGGTAAGTACCACAAAAAAGTATTAGATCTCTACGGCTCCTTTGCATGTGATACACGGGGACTAAAGACCTCTCTCCCACTGCAGGCTCGGCGATGTCCACAGTGAGGAGTGTCTAGGCGACTCACTCATGATTTTTATACCTGTCATTAAAGGCAGCCCTGGGCATCAAACTCCACACCTACAAAGTTCAATAAACTATATTACACTTTAATAAATATTTGTGTACTTTTTTGTTTTCTGATTTTAAGCTCAGCTTAAATTTTTGTCAAGGAAACCATTTCACAAGAGGGTACATCACAATCTACTACCAGCAATATCCCTTGTTTATTAGACTCTGAAGGTGTCCATATTACATCAAATATAAATATATATTGTATTTACATTTCCTTCTTAGCTTTTCAATTTAGGCGAGTGTATTTATAGGCAATGCCACTAATGCCACCACCATTACAGCGGTCAGTGCAGCTCGTATCTCCCTCCCACTGGATGTCTACAGGGTTAGACAGCATCTTAAAAGACATATTGTTCTTCTTTGTTAAATGAAAGGAAAGAATGGATATCCATGACTGGAGATCTAGAAATTTTCTAGGAGATTTTGCTTAGTTTTTTAGTATTTCAAATACCTGAAAAATGTGGTCCCTTTTTGTAATACTATTCTCTACTTGGGATCAAGAAAATAAAATATGCAATTCAGAAAGGAAAAGAGCCCAAAGAAAAGAGAACCTGCTTGTTAGCTCATCAATCTGTTTAGTAAAGATCTGTTTTAAAATGTCTGAATGCTGTACAATATTATACAAAAACACTCTTCAGCCTTCAAAGCAGCTGGTACATTTTCTTAGAGACCTGTTTGCCCGCCTAACAGTCTGCTGCCTCGGTGGGCCTGGGTCTTGGGTCACTTTCGGTCATCGATGGTTTTAATGAATTCCACTGCTGCAGTGAACTGCATCCACCAATACGACTCCTCTCCAGTCAGACAGCTGGCATAGAAGCTACTGATGTACTGAACAGTGGACAGCAAACAGGGTGGGTTTGCCTAGAAAAATGAAAAATAAAGGCGTCAATCAGTTAGATGTATATGCCTGCAAAAATCATTGAAGTCAACATCTTCCAAAGTTTTTCTCTGAAAAAGATAGATACCAGTCCTTCTGTAAATAGGCCCCAAATTCCCTTTTTGGAACTATTCTGTAAACCCTAGCTGCTATGAGCAGCAACAGGACACTGGAAAGGCAAGCTGGGTTCTAATCTTAGCTGAACTACCTAGAGCTTTCTATGCCTGCAAGTCACTTAACCCCACTGAGGTCCTTAACAAGGCTGCACCAAACCCAGTGGACTCACTCAACATCTCAGGATTGCAGAATCCTGAGGAATCCTCAGGAAATAAATGCTGCAGGCACATGGGGTTACCGCTGGTTAGTAAGTGCAGGTAGGATAAGCTGAGAAAGAAAAAACTGAAGAGGGTAACACGTCCTCTTTTACAAGAGGCAACACAGAACATCAGCTTTTTCACCATCTTCAGGCGGCAAGAAAGGACACAAATGCGTTAAGTGGTTAGGAAGAGAAGCCAAGACTCGTTCCTTAAAACAAGCTTAAACTGACACAGCACAAGCAGAAGAGGGAAGAGCGGGCCAATGGGAGTTGTAGGGGCTGACCACACACTGATCTTAGGGGTTTCTGACTCGGGAGTTCAGGCTGTAGAAATACTGAAACATTAAGAATTAGTAAGATATGTGTCAAATGTACCCTAGGCCTCAACAGATGAGCTAAGCTGACTGGACCACAGGAGTGACGCACCCAAAGCACATGGTCCTCCCCGAAATGTTCAAAATAAACCGTTTGGATGATGAAATTTCAATTTTAAAGATTAAAAAAAGGATAAAATGTCAGTATTTTTTAAAATAATGAGATACGATTACAAAATATGAGGCTAACGGAGGAGAAAGATGATTGGCAAATTTAGTAGTTTATGTGACAAGCACTATGAAGAATTCAATGTGAAAAAAAAAAATGGTAAAAGCCCATTAATTCTTTCACCCAATAAGTATATACAGAGACCCAACCAAGAACTGCAGGCACTGCTTTAAAAATTGAACATGTTCATCTAGGACTCTGGACCTCCCATTCTTTCTTTTGAAACCCCTAACTCCTGGAAAGAACAAGAGTCGACGTGAGACACTTTCTGGGTAACACAGAGCTTGAGGCTTAGAAAAAAGCCAAGGTCTCTAACATCCTGGGAAGCCCCACAGCACCCTGCTCAGAATGCCAAATAAACCCTCGTCTCCAACAGTTCAGAGGGGCCCACCTTTATCAACACGAACACCAGAACAGGGACGAAGTCATCGGCTCCCGGGACGGAGTCCTCATTGGCCAGGCTCAGGAGGTTCATGATGGTGGAGCACATGCGCAGGATGCACTGCACTTTGTCCCGGGGTGTCTTGTAAGCACTTATTGTCCTGATTTCTGACTGTGCCGAAGGCCATGGTGCCTCCCGAAGGTAGACCTGAGTGAGACCACGCACAGGCAGGCAGAGCTTCAACCTCACGGCCCCCACAGGCAGGGAGCACAGCTGTGGTCCCTTCGCCTGCCACTAACAACTGAAGCTTAACTCTTTAACTTTTAAAGAATCTGCTTTGAGTTTTAAAATAAAAACAACTTAGATATCCACCAACAGAGGAAATGGCATACAATAACATAGAACCTAGAAGTCATAAAATTTCAACCTTTCTTAAATAGTAAGAATGGAACTTCTCTATGTGTAGAAGCTGATTCCAAAAGCACAAACAAGCTACTTTTAAAAGAAAATAATTTATAAATTAATATGTGCATTTGCTGCAGTGGTTCTAGAAATAACTGATTCAAACAATCCAAGACAATTAAAAATTTTATGTTAATCAATGTCCCATTATGGGGATTTTAATAAAACAACCAGAAAGCTCAACTACCTGAAATCTTCCTATTTTCTTATTTTCTAAGAGCTGTATTTTACAAGGGGTAAAAACTCCATTATCAACAACTGAAAGGGAACTCGGTGTCACGGTCAGGTTCAATCCCCTCGCGTGGAACCGCCTGGAACCGCCTGGAACCGAGCTGTCTGCACCCTGAGGCCCCACCGGCAGAGTCAGCCCCCTCACCACCCGAACTGTAATCCTGGGGAGGGTCTTCGGGGAACTTCGCAGACTGAAGCACCTCTAGTGTGAACAGGCGTTACATACTGTATAGTCTCCCTGAAAAACTGGTAACGTGCACAGGCAACACTGAGCAGCTTTTAGTTCGGAACGGCGCCCGCGCTCGGAGGCCCGCCTTACCTCCGGTATCTGGAGGGCTCTGTGGTTTGCGGTCACGACCTTAGACAGTCTCTGAATATGTTCATGAAGAACCCTGAAAACCCCCAAAACAAATACGTAAATATGTATTTCAGAACATAAGGTACACAGTGTCATAATTAATTTTTGAAGGCACTTAAAACATTTTAGACATATTTCTTGATACAGATTACAATTACAGTTCAGACTACCTCTAAGCTCTAGGTATTCTATCTTGTCAAAAAAAGTCGTATCTGGGATCTGCTTAGCGATGCTGAGTGAGCAAGGGGTGCGGACAGAGCAGGGAAGTCCTTCTTCCTTCCCAGGCGAGGACAGCCCTCCACGGAGAAGGGAGAGGAGCCCTCAGCCCACACACTGCCTGGACACACTAATCAGCAAACAGGCTGCCAGGAAGGGGAGCTTCAAAAGCCAGAAACCAAAGACACTGAGATAGAGAAGGGACTCAGAGCCTGCAACCTCTCATTTCACCGGTGAAAACAATTCAGCTTCAACAGGTGACAGTTTTGACTAAGACCACACAGGAGCTAAACCCAGCTTTCCTGGCTTCTAGTATTCTTCCCAGAACACTGTTAGCTTACCCTCTACAAAACCTGTGGCAATGCCATGGAGGAGAAGGCAGGAATAACCTGCTTCAAAGTGGCTCTTTGCAGTCTGAATGTCCCTACTTCGTACCCCTCGCTGGAAGCCAAAAGCTGGTGCTCTGGAGAGAAAACAGGTCGCACTGGGCACATCAAGGACAGAGGTTCAGGGTAGGCTAAACAAGTGAGAGGCAGGTTGGAATGATTCTAACACACTCAGAGGAAAATGAACTCCCTCAAATATACACACCGTATCTTATAATTTCCATGAAAAACGGGTTTTACAAAACCACTCATTACCCACCCTGAAATCCTATTACATGTCCCTGGCACCGTAAGCCCCTGTCACAGCTGCAGTGCACAGTGGCCACCTCAACATGCTGGGGGTTGTAAAGAAATGCTCAAGAAAATGCAGAAAAGGAAAAAGAAAAATTCTAAATCATCCAGTCTCACTGCCCCAAAATAACCAGTTTCCATGCAGCTATTCATTTTTCAAGGTTAATCTTTAGGATTAGTTTTTAAAAACAGCTTTATTATGTTATATTCTATACAATTCTAGATATTTTTTGATACCCAAAAACATAACTTTTCATTCCTAATGAATAATCAACATATACCAGCAGCCAAGCCCCGCGCTCGAGGCCGTGAGGAGGGGGTGAGTGCGGGCAGCTTGCTCCTGCCCTCGGGGAACATCTGGGGAGGGAGCACCCATCAGGAGACCACGCAGACCGGGGCACAGGAGCAGGGGCAGTTCTGCCCTGCACGGGACACTCGGCAGTGCCTGCAGACCTCTGTGGTCCTCACAGCTGGTGCTGTGTGACCGGCCCTAGCATGTAGGGCCCGGGAGTCCGCTAGACTCTCCCAATGCCCAGGACAGCCCCTGCATCTAAGAACTACCTGGTCCAAATGTCACCAGTGCCAGGCTGAGAAACAAATGTGAAACTGCCACTGAGAAAGGAACACCAGCCTAAGAGCCCTGACAGGGAAGTCGACCTCGTCAGAAAGGCCAGGGACAGTTTCCCCGAGTCAAGGTCTAAAGGAAAGGCAGAGCTGAGGCGCAACCAACAGCAGTGCCTTCCAAAGCGGCCAGAACAATTTACACGCCCCTCTGCCTGATTCTGCACTTCCCTGGAAACAAGCGAACATCATCCTTCTTGATCTTGTAACTCCAACGGGTGAAACATGGTAATGGCATGCATTACTCTTAGATACCAAATCTCATGTATAGCTTGTCAACCCAGGCACTAAACGCAGAAGCACTCACTGGTCGCGAAGTATGTCGCCATCCTGATTAGGGTAGAAAGCAAGCTTGAAAATCCGATTCATCACGCTCCGCTCAATGGCCAGCTGAGCGTCCTGCAGCTGCTCCTCACTCGCATTTTGCCATATGACGTCCTGGGCCATCACGCCATAAAGGTACTTTAGGAAATCTTCTACCTGAGCAGTTTTATCATCAGCCGCTGTGAGTTTCTGAAAGTCTCCAATGCAAAATAGTAATATTTAAAATACACTACCTGAGTAATTTTAAAAAGGAAATTATAGAAATCATTTTAATCACTGGCTATGTAAATAGTATGTTCTTAAAGCCAAAAGAGTCTGGACATGGTTTATTTTAGGAGAATATGCAGCCAAATCACTAAAATCAGGAAAAAGGTAAGAGAGAGAGAAAAGTTTAAGAGCAGGGGGCGTGTACTAAAAGTGATATGCTTTGATTTAAAAAAATAAGAAAAATTGTGTGGATCCAAAACTTTACCAGTTTGTAGTCAATTTTTAAACAAACTACAGATAATCAATCCAATAAAAATAAAAAGTATTTTTTTACATCAAAATTTAATTCAGAATCCATAAAATAACTGGGAATTTAAGGCACTGCTCTTAGACATGTAGGCACTCAAACAAACTAGCAAACCAGACTTTCCAAACCTTCCCAGTAATGTGTGGCTGAAGGGGCATGCACCCCGACGGTCTCTGGTTATTACCTTGAATGAACTCCCTGATCTTCTTTTCTTTGCTCTCAAGTAGCAGCCTCACACAGACGGTGGTGAAGTACCGATTGGCCACCTCCTTGTCCCGCAGAACCCTTTGCAGAAGCCTTTCCAGGTGAGCCTGTGTGGTCTGCAGTCCTTGTCGACAGCGAGTGAGATAAGCAATATAGGGGGCCCTTTTCCTAAAAGGAAACATGCTTTGCAGGACACCAGATATATACAGTGAACACTTTCTCTGGAGACCAAGAGGGCTAATTTTTCTTCAAAAAACAGGCTACTTCAGAGATTTGGGTTTTACAAATCAGCATGTCAGGCTGCAGACAACTGTCTTGAGGACAAGCATGCAGCCAGCCCAAGAAACAGATGCACTCTCATGTTTGTGAAGAATATCATGTCCTGGGCCGACCACTTAGCTACCGAATTCACTGACCAGGCCTGAGTCCCTTCACACTACTGATCTGTTTTGTATCGGAGCCCAGTCTTCACACTGGCAGGACCTCACACTTCACACCTAACAGGAAACTGACTGCTTCATAAAACTACGATAAGAACAAAATGCAGGTTACTATACCACTAGATCATTAAACACACCACCAATTATCTGCGTACTGTCTGAATGAAACAATCATTAAGAGTACACAGGCCCTAAGCCTTAAAGCCCCCTTTACTTCCTAAGCATCTCAATTACGTTTTTCTCCTTAACTGTTAGCCAGGGACTGGTCATAAACAAAGGGTAACAATTCCTAGGCCAATGCCTGCCTGCCTGGTCCAGGGAGGTAGTCTTCCCTATCATCCCCAATGAAGTAAAAATTATATTCTAGTTACCATGGCCTCGCCCCTGCTAAAGCTCTTTTATGCAATGCTCAAGTAAATGGCGCTTCTCTGTTTGTAAGAGCTGCTCATTTATAACCCCATTTCCAGACTAAACAGCCAATGTGCTCCTCAGGAATCTATAGCCAGGTACATGTAGCCAAGCACTTTGCAGTAAGGCTCGGTTCACGCTACCTGTAATCCTCCGCGATAGAGGCCAGCAGCTTCCTGCACGTCCTGTTATCAAAGCGGCACACACAACGCATTGTTTCTTGCAGTTGAGCCATTAAGTTTTTATCTTGTAAATTAATTGCTTCGGCTATTTGAACTTTTAAGAAGCATACAATTTCATTGTCTAAGCAAAAAGAAAAAGAAAAGAATTCTGTCATTGTTGAGATGAGAAAATCCATGTGCTTATGTAAACTGTATTAGAACTAAGCTGAATTGCCGATCTCAGAGAACACTAATGAACCAGCAGTAATCAAAGTGCCCTTAACTGATCCTAATATAAATGTATTGATTTGAATCATATGGAATGGCTGTAAAGCTTCAATACAGTTGAACACTGGCAATTTCATATGGTTCAACCTACAAATACCGGAAAAAACCAATGACCATACAGCAGCTTACCTTCTGGGTCTGTGTGGTCTGGTAAACCATTCCTTGTTGAATGGGTTAGCACTGGGAAAGCAACAGAATCCGCAGAGCAAAGAGCAAGCCTCAGTTTCTTTTTTGCATCTCTGAAAAATAAGTTGAAAATTCATTAATTTCTATGTCCAGATATGACATTTTACGAACATTTACTACATGAATTAACATGCTACCTCAGGACTCAAATGTTTCAAGTGGTCGTAAATAAAAGGTGACCTTAAGCTTACTGACACCTCACTTAAAGGAACAGGCCTCCCAGTTCCCCAAGGGGCAAGGCTGTAAAAGTGTTCTGGGCAAGGGCTGTTCTATAAAGTCACCAGAATCAAACAAGTGCCTTTTGACCTTCTAGTGTATGCTGAGATCTAGGACAGGTACCCAGAATGCCTTGTCCTATAGCTCTTGGCAAGTGTTGGTCCTGCCGCTAGACAAGCTCGCGGCCTGGAAAGCAGCTCTTTCCTACTGCTCTACTGCTGGCAGCCTTCTCGTGCTGAGCCATACCCGCCTCCTTCCAACTGCCAGCTACTGAAGCACCTACCACCACCCAGCACAGGGAGCCCTTCAGTAAGGTGTCACCCTCCACAACAATGCAGCTCTCTGTTCACACCAAGATGCCACCGACATTCTTTCTTTTTTTTAAATTTAATCTTTATTGTATTTTTGCCACTACCATTCAGTCCCCTTTTACCCCTCTCCTCCCAGCAATCTCTACACTGTTGCCCACGTCCAAGAGTCCGTTTTCCTTTTTGCTCAGTCCCTCCACTCTCTCCCCTGCTCCCCAGTCACCCAAATTCTTTTATCTGCTAGTAGCCGTGGCCCTTTCTGGTCCTGCAGGGCACGGGCCAGAGCTTCTTCGGAATGTCCAAAGCTGCCATCCCAAGAAAAAGCAGACACGCCTCCGAGAACAGGCTGCAGTCTGCTCACCTGCAGGCTTATCACTAGTCCCCCTCACCTGACTAGCTCTGAGTCTTTCCTTACTGGCTTGTTTCCTACGAAACGAGGAATTTACAGATTAAGCCTATCAAAGGCAATATTCTCCCACTTTGCAAAGACTCATAAAATCTATAATGATGAAGTCATGGCCGAAAAGTAAAAGTTGTCTGTTATCCACCCCCCTACCCAATTTTACTGCAAGAAAAAAATTATAAAGCTTAGTAATATTTAGAAATAAAATGATATACTGTTTGGAGTTTTCTTTAAACTAAGTGGGGGAAGTAAATATAAAACAATACCAGCCATGTGCTGGTGGTGCTGAACCTGGGGAACGAGGAGGACGACACACGGAGGGGCCCTGCAGGGCTCCGGGGGACAGCGCGTTAGCGGACAGCCCCGCAGTGCGTGCTGCCTCCTAGCGCACCCTCCCCCGACGTTTCTCGCACAGCCCAGAGCTTTGCAATGGGCACAGGCCCTGCCACTTGTTTCACTTTAATTACTTAGGTGTTGCCTGTGAACACAGCGAGGTTTCCTTTTATCCCCGAATTAAAGCCTCTGATACATGGCCTCCACCTGCGAAGCAAAGTCTTCTCAGTAAACAGCCATTTCATTCTTATCTCTCTGCTTTATACATTTGCTAAGAGACTCAAGGCATCACTTGACTTGAAGTGATGCAATGGTGATGAGAAGTCCAACACCCAGAGTCCTAAACCCCGTAAAAGAAGTACCGGTAAGAGAAAGCCGAGTCCTGAGGGTGGGCCGCTTGGCTCGCGGAGTCCGGCAGATCATCGGCTGAGATGTTCTGCAGCGTCTCATCTCGAGGAGAATCGTGTGCACTTTCACCATCACCCATAACCTCTAAACAAAACCGACCCCCCAAAGGGTGATTAGGTTAATCTGCAATATTCTGGCACTAGTAGTTATTCTGAGCCACTCAGTGATAAGTTAGCATTGTGCTTGACAATGAGAGTTCTTTGAAAAAGAAAACTTTAAACACTTAAACAAGATATGGATAGTAATGATAATATATCAAGAGGGCATTTATTGAGAAGAGAATGGTTTTGTTTCTCATTCCAATCCTAACTGAAAACAATGAAAGTCTCCATTAATTTAATAAAGATAATACTCTGTGATCAGAATCACTGAACCACAGAACTGAAAGGGGACTCAAATATCGTTTTACTTATCACCTCATTTTGTGGAGACATGGAACCCTGCCCGTGGGAGACACCTGCAAACCCCCCAACCAGCCATCGGTTGAGGGCACCAGGTGCTCAGGCCTCCGGTCCCCTCCCCAGGGCTCCTCCCACTGCCCCGGAAGGAGCTGCCAGCGAACTCACAAATGCAGCCAGGGGTTCCACAGTTGCTTTTATGTTTTCAATTAATCAATTTAGGTAAGACATGCATGCATAAAATCAAGAGGAATAAAAAAGTTCCTTAGTGTAGTAAAGATACTGTGCTTATACAGAAAATTATCTTTATTCTTCGGAGATAATTTCAAATGCTTCAGGAAAAACCAAATAGAAAAATGTGGGAAAATGTTAACAACTGATGTCTATCTAGGTCGAGGGAATATGAACCTGCACGGTATTATTTTTTCAGTTTTTCTGTTGCTTTCGCCCCGGGCTCCCCCCTCAGTCTGGTCCCAGAGACGCTCTGCACACACAAGCGTAAAAATACATGTGAGGTACCAGTTACACTTTTACATACTTGTGTTTCCTCTTCATTTATCTTGGGGATTATGCCTTATTTTTTGCACAGCTATTCAAAAGTAGCTATCAAAAGGCTCCTTTTATTGCAAATCACCTCTATCACGTTGATACAAAAGTTACTATTCAAATCTTGATCATGATCATCACCTGCACTTTCGTAGTTTGCCATTGCTCCTTCACTGGGGCTGGTCCGTTTGATGGCATTCCTATACTTGTCCAGAATGTCCTCAGCGACCTGGGCCTGAGCACTGAGTCGAGGGCTGGGATCATCTGCAGGGAAAGGAGAGGGAGAGAATGAGTTCCCCTCGGTTTGGACCAACTCTGATGTTAGTACGACACCAGGAGCATAATCCCAAAGGCCGATTAGGAGGTGAGACTTAAAAAGAGCACATATCTCAATGTTAAGAGGCACCATGCAGCCGCCTACTTCTCCCATTTCTAGGTCTGAGAGCCTTGCCAAAGCACGGGATTGGGAGGATTAGCTTCACTTTCTCATCATCGCCAGAATTCCGCATGACAGTGTCAGAAAGTTCAGCGCAGACTGAATGGATGATGGGTTTCTAAGTGTTTACACTCAAACCACTGCTATTAGCAGTTCATGCCAACAGAACTTCCAACAATGCACTTTTATATGCAGACTTCAGTACTCAGACATCTCCACGCTGAAGGAGCAAAAAAAGTATTTAAACTAGAATTAAAGCCTTTTAAAAAATTGCCTTCCTCCAACCTCCCTCGATTTCTCTCCCTGCACTGGGTTTGAAAACGTCTGATTTTCAGCCTGTCTCACTGGCTTGCACCCTCGCACGCAGCCGCTGGACCCCTGGGGTGTCGGAGGGGCCCCTGGAGAGGCCAGACACTGCTGGGGGGTGCTGGGCCGGTGCCGGGGCGCGCGGGGAACAGGCTTGCCACAGACACACAGGCAGCACTGCTTTCTGGCAGGGCCGCTGTCCTGTCAGCAACGGCAGCACATCAAAATGAGTTCCTGCCGTCGATGTAATTAACAATTAATAAAGCAAAGGACTGCTCAAGATCTATGGGATACAATAAAGTTCTGTAGTGAAATCTAAACTCCTGAGGTGGATCGAGGCCAGGCAGTTAACTACCATAAATGCCCACACTCTGGTAGAATCCCATTTTTTTTAAAGTATAAAAATCACATGAAGACTTTATATGTGTGTGTGTGAATAGCAGCTAATATTAATAGCAGCTAACATTTATTGAGCACTTACCACGTGCCAGGAATTGTACTAGGCATCTTATATAAATGACCTCAATTAATCATCACAATAAACCTACAGGGAGTTACTACTATCACCCCCATTTTACAGAAGAGGAAATTGAGGTATATGAGAGTTTAAGTACTTAGGTTCACAGGCTCTTCTTTTGTTTCCATAAAAAAAATTATTTTTTTGTCTCCATAAAAGTGTAGTAAACTGTAGAGAGAAATTAATTTCTAAATTAATTTAATCTTTCTGCTGTAATGGTATTTGAATGCATAGTAAGAATTGTAATCTGATCTCTTCAAAACGTAAACTGATAAAAACCTCTATCACTTCAAATCCTTTTTTTGGATGGGGAGTATTTTTGCTATTGGTTTTGAGTGCTATTGAGGCTCTTTTGAAAAAAGGACAATAGAATTTGGCTAAACACAGTGAAAGCCATAAAGTTGCTTATAAAATTTATTTCTATAATGCCATTCTTAAAAATTTTACCCCAAGTAAATCATAAAAACAATCAAAAAGTACTACACGGATGTAGCTGTGAGCAGTACTTTCATAGTAAAAACTGGATTCAATTTAAATATCCAAAAGCAAGAGAAGGTTCACACTACAGTAAAATCATGTGATAGATCATCTCAGCACCAATGAATATTAATAAACCAGCTATGTCTAGTAGAAACTGGGAGAGGACTTATGAAATAACATGTGGTAATAGAATACACTTACATACATACTCTGATTCAGTCATGAAAAGCCATGTAAAAATATGAAAACATTGGGAGAGAACATGAAAAAAAAGAATGCGTAGGATGGTGGGATTATGCGCAGACTGTTAAGAAATCTCCTTTCATAGCATTTTACAATGGATTTAACGATAATTTTCAATGGGTCATTAGTTAGGACTGTGTAGAAGTTTCTGCACCAGTAGAGAAGTTCAATGGCTTGAATTAAACACAAAGAAAATGGAATACTTTATGAAAAAAATTTATTCTGCTCTACATAGCTTCCAGTTTAAGAACCAAGAATCAAGAAAAATGAATTGCCCAAAGAAAAGTAAAAAACAATTTATAAGTTCTGTAAAATTATCAATTCAATATTATAAAAACATGACATTTCATTAAGAGCATTCCATTCTATAAACATTGGTGGTGTCCTAATACTAGAAACATGTAGGGAAACATAGATATCTTGCCAAAAGGATGCCTTTGCAACTCCTCTCAGTCAGTCTGTAAGTTCCTGAAGAACAGGGGTCATGAGTGATTTGACTTAATACCTACAACACTCAGCACAGCGCCCGGCATGAGTCAGATGTTCAACAAGTATTGGCTGATCGAATAAGACGGGCTTGACTGCTCTCAGCAGGGACCAGGGCCTGGAAGCACGGCTCCTGCTGCTCAGAACCCTTTATTCCAGGAAGGTCATGCATCAAAGCAGGGGTGTACACTAGGACAAGGAACTACATCTAAATGGAATTAGACATCAGAATAGCATGCATTAAAATGGGATTCTACCTGTACTATGCTGAGCTTTGAGGAGGATGTTCTTTTGAAACCTACCTCATTTTTAAATAAAAATCTTCATTTTAACTTAGCAGAACATAATTTAAAATCGAGGTAAGAAAAACAGAGCTGAGAAATTAACTTCCCTCTAGATGCTCTATAGTCATTGGAAACAGTACACAGCTACCAAACTCAAGGCTGTGTCATTAACGCTATTCCTCACACTCTTTCCTTTCAGGGTACTCATTCATAATGTGCCAGAAGATGCTGTAAAAATAGAAACGCTGAATAAGGTAAGAACCCAACCCCTAGCTGTATTTTCCTTGAGTCAGATAGCAATGCTAAAATGATTCAAGCTGTAACAAATTAGTAAAGTTTATAAGTTTATTATATTGAACACTTTATCTCAAAAAAAAAAAAGAAATTAGGTAAAACAGAATTTCACTGTGATCCTGAATAATCAAGAGTTACAGACAGAAATAAATTTAGAATTCTACGATCAACGTTAGAGAAAATGTTAGAGAAAACTAATCAATCAATGGTCCAAAGATACGGCATGCATAGCACTAAAACCATCACCACACTTTCCTACAAGGCTCTACGTGTCATCATCCCACTAGCATGTCGAGCTGCAGGGCGTGTCTAGAGGCTCAGGATCAGGGGCCTCATCATAAACGGAAGCTGTGATAATGAGGATGATGATGGTGGTGGTGGTCTGCAGGAGAGCGCGCTGAGATTCACTGTGGCTGCCAACTGGAAACCACAAAGCTACGAAGAACATACTCCCCACTGTACACACACAGACACACTCTTGTAAAAGGCAACGCTTATGGCACCCAAGAAAAAGTGTTATGAAATATGTGCTCTGGGAATGAAGGAGCCAGGAAGTCCATTGGTCTACAAACCTGTGAGTGTTGAGAATCTGTCAGGCCCCAGATCATCTTTGTCTTTTTCTTGTTTTTCTTTCTTTCTAAATGGTATAGGAGCTGGAAATTAAATAAAGTCAGTAGTGTGACACATAACATACTGCACTACTTGGAAGACAGCAGTCATTGGGGTTAACTGGCGTGCCAACATTTCTAAGTGAAAGGAAGGTGAAAAGTTTAAAAGCTAAGAAATCCCAAGTGTCAATTGATAATAGTTCTTAAAATAGCATTGAAGGTTCTTAAAAGAAGCTTTCAGAGTCGTCTGCCACAGGAAGAACGATTTAACGGGAATCTACTGGGACTAAATCAAAACCACTGCCTCTCAACCTCTGCTCAAAAACAACACAGTCAAAACTTGGAGCCTCGTTCTCCCCTCCTCATCAGTGGGACAGAGCGCGGCACGAAGGCTGTGTTCCTCGGCTCCTGAGCATCACAGGGCCGAGAAGAGGCCTTCAGAAGAAGTCCCTAGCTTTAATCCTGGATGGTCGCTGCTTTCAGGAAGAGATGCTTTGCAAACTCAAACCTCCGTGTCTACTGGTATGATGCCAGGTTATTCACCAAAAAAAGCAAACAATTTTATACAACTGCCTAACAACTTAGACACTCATTAATAGGGTATAAATATTCTCAAAGAACATAAACGTTAAAAGCTTAAGTTTTTCCCAGGAATGTAAAGGATGAATTTCACATTTTCAGTTTAATTATATATAGCATCCCTTTTTCCTGCAATAATTATTTGCAATACATATGTCGCAAGTCCTACATGTCTACCATCACTGATATATGATATTTAAACAGCCATGACTTGCATGACTTCCATTTATGAAACCACTACCACTTCCTGCAAAGAACAAGAACTGCCACTTCTAAAGCTCTTCCTTAGCATTCACCTGCACAGAATCATTTTCTTTACCCTGAAAACAGCTAGAAACAAGCCCAGCAAGACTCAGAGAGGAGTTGAGGTACTGGCTCTCTGAAAGAGGTTTCAGGGCTTTGCTTCTTATTGCTAATACAGCATTCTAATATTTTATAAAATTACCTTTAGGCATGGCAGAAACAAAACGCTTTCTCCACCAAGGTCTGTTCCTGTCTGATTTCTCATCATCGCTATCTTTGCGTTCTTCAGTCTGTAGGAAAAGTTTCATGCTTTATTTGGAGTTGGGCAGCAGGACAAATTACTATGAAAAGGATTTCATTTAGTCTGTGAAATACAAATACCACTCAGGTTTGTCTTAAAAGCAAAACTATTCTTATTGCTATATAGGAAACTTCTGAAACATGGAAGTGTACCTTTCAAGCACCAGACAGTGATCTGCTTGAGGGTAGGCACTATCTCATCACTGTTAGTAAACTGAGAGCTTAATATGGAGCCTAGAATAGAGTGAGCACTTAATAGATTTTTACAGAGTAAACACAATGCAAGTAATGTGTTTACTTTCTTGGGGTAGTAGAGATGGTAGCAGGAGCATTAATAATAAAACCAAGTCTGTGCTGTGTGCCAAACACTGAGTGTAAGGATATATATGATTTCATTTAAACCTCACAGTAGTCTTAGGAGATAAATACTATTATTAAGCCCTTCTTACAGATGAGAGGTTATCACTCATCTTCCCCAAAGTAACACAGCCTGTATGTGGCACAGCTGGGACTCAAACCTAGATCCGACCAACTTCAAAGTTCAAGTTTTGATCACCAATTATGTTGAACTATCATTAGGACCACATGTCAAAGGACAGGAACTATAATTCCTTGACTAGCCCATCATATAACCTTAGACAAAACATTTAATTTGTTTCTACAAAACTGTAATTAAAAATATCTTCTCTAAGGGTATCCATATAGAAGTGGCTCCCACTGACCAAATCAGGGACAAAAATAAATGACAGTAACAAATCTATTGATTAAAATGGAAAACCATGGGCCCAAACATATAATACATGAGTAAATTTAAAATGTGACAAAGAACAGGATATTCACATATTTTCAAAGTACCTCCTCCCCCACAAAATACTTATTAATTACAAAGGAAAGCAGAGACTTTACGGGGGGAAGCCTGGCAACCCACACCTTCATCAAATGACACGAATGGCCACTGTGGGCAGTGGAAGGAACACACAGTTACGTCAGCGATATTCCTGCCAAGGATGAGGAACCTGGAACTAGTCATGAGGAAACATCAAACAGATCCAAATTCTAGAAATGGGCCTGTAATTTTTAAGTGTGTGAAGCTCATGAAAGTCAAGGAAAAACTGAGAAAGTGTTCTAGACTGAGACTAAAATGACATGACAACAAAATAGAAAATGTGATTCTGAATGGGGTCCTTTAGAGAATGTTACTGGAGCAACTGGGGACACATTCATGAACAGGCTGTGAGAATTAGAGGTAGTCATGTGCCAATGTTAATTTCCTGATGTTAATGGTGTAGGAGAAGGTGCCTGCGTGTACGAAACTGCACTAAAGTATTCACAGGTGATGAGCTTGGCAGCACCAGGCTGGCAATTTACTCTCACATGTTTGGGGAGAGGTGGTTTTTCTCTACTTTCAACTTCTCTGTAACTCTGTAATTGTTTCAAAATAAAAAATAATGCCTCACTGGAAAAAAGAAAAGAAAAATAATAGCTAATCATCTCAGAAGAAAACTGTGAGGTTTAAATGCAATTAAATATAAAACTACTTGAAGAAAGTTTAAAGTGTTATAAAAATGCAAGCTACATTTCTACAAAACCAAAGTATTAAAGTACTTCCTATGGGTTATATGGCTGTGAATATACTAGATTGACAAACCATCTTTAATTATGACTACTGTCCGTCCTTAATCCTAGATGTACAGAACCTATATTAATTTCAGATATCAAGAGAATTGGGCAGACAGAACATCAAAGCCGACCACAGTCAGCAAGCACTTCAGCATGGCCTACGTCCCATACCTCTCCTCTTGAGGAGTCCTTACTCGGGGATGAAGACGATGAATGAGGTGCAGCCACCAAAGAAGTAGCACCAATGGCTGCGGCTGGAGGGAGCTCTCGTTCTTCATTCCCTGGGCGCCGATTCCAGCTGGGGTCACTCATGGGTCTCCGGACAGAAGATACTATATCAGAGCTCCTGCTGCGAACTAATCTCTCAGGGTAAGAATGTCTTTGCTTGAATGCCTCCATTTCAGCGGGCGTTAAGACATGGGAACCAAAGTTTGGCAGCCTGGCCTCATTTCCGCCCACCGCTCCTTCCAGGATCGGGGGGTCTGGCGGTGGGTGCGATGGCCTGGCATAGTGAACCTTGGGCCTTACCACAGCAGAAGCCCCTAGAACACAGGAAAAAGGGTTTGCCACTGAGACGCAACTGATCCAACCAAGGCATTAACGAAGGGTTTAGGGCTGCTTTTCTTTGTCCGTGATAAGACAATAGTCAAAGAGCTCACTTGATGCCCTGGCTGGTGCAGCTCAGTTGGCTGACTGTCATCCTGCCAACCAAAAGGTCACAAGTTTGATTGCTGGTCAGGGCACATGCCTAGGCTGCAGGTTTGGTCCCGGTTGGCTGAGGCACATACGAAGGGCAACCTGATTGGTGCTTCTCCCTCACATTGATGTTTCTTCCCCTCCCTTTTCCCCTCCCTCCCCCTCTAAAAAAATAATTTTTTTTTTAAAAAAAAGCTCATTTGATGATCATTTCACCATATATACAAATATTGAATCATTATGTTGTACACCTGAAACTAACATAATGCTATATGTCAAATATATCTCAATTTTTTAAAAATAGTTCATTTGACTCGTTCACCTTCATGTGAAGACAGAGGATCAAACATGGCGAGCAGAGACTCTGACTGGGAAGGTGGGGAGGTCAGCGGGTGGGCACCTAAAAGAAACAGTGAGACTAGGTCAGAACTCATGACTCAGTGAGCATTTCAGCACAGTGAAAATGGTTCTGACATTCTTCCAGTTTTCAAACTTCTTTAATCAATTAAAACTTGAGGGGTATACATCAGGAAAAAAAGAATCTAATAAAGATCAAATTCTTATTACTCCAACTTCATATTATATTTTTTTCTACATACATGGATTTTAATTACACTTAAGTGGTCTATCATCCATATGCCTGTTATTTCTAATGGCCAAATTGGATCATACTTAATGCAAAGATCACAGAGCCAGAAGGCGTAAATCATCAAAATCTTCAGAATGTCAAGTTTCCCTGAGTCTCACCTTCCGCCTATAAAAATACAGGCAACACTACCCACAGAAGGAGTATAAATAAAACATTGTAAAACTTGAAATTCTAATACTGCTCTCAGCAAATGACAATTTATTAAAAAACTCCTATTAAAATGAACACTACTATACTACATCATGAAACAAACTCTACCTTCTAAAGTGCCCTATTTTAAGCTACAGAGTAAAAGATGCTCCTCTGAGCATGTCTAAACAATCAAAATCAGAAATGTTAAAATAGGTGAGTGTGCAGAGGCTAACACTTTCAAATATATAAAAACTGTCACTCTAGACTTTTTGAATCTGAGCTATCTTTTTTGATAATGAATGACAGTGTTATGTGCCTTCGGTTTTTCCTTTTGTTCTATGTCTTATATTTATCTCCCTTTTTAAAAATTACAGAAATAGTACATCATTATGAAAGATAGCTTAAAACATCAGTTCTCAAAATTTTGATCTTAGATCAAAATTTTTTTAAATTACATTCTTTAAAATTACTGACTGATTATATGTATTGATATTTACCATATTAGAAATTAAAACTGGAAATAGAGATACATTTACATATGAATCCATTTCAATATACCTACTAAGTGGTAATACAAATAACCTGTATAATGAAAAATAACTATATTTTCCAAAATAAAAACGTAAGAAGAGTGACACTGTTTTACATTTTCACAAATTCCTTTACTATATGGTTAGAAAGAACACAGCTGGATTCTCTTTATCTGCTTCTGTTTTGAATCAGTTGCAATATGACATTTTGGTTAAAGAACAGAAAGAAAAACTGGCCTCACATATGTAGTTGGAAAGGGGACAATATTATTATAGTCTTTTCAGTAATTGTGGATATTCTTCTTTGATACTATACCAAATCTTGACAAGTAGTTTTTTAAAGATTAGGTACAATGTGGAAAAAAGTTCATTTCCTAGTCAATGAGCTTTTTGTACTCTGTTACGTTAAAATTAATTGGACTGTCTTGCACTTTAAATGGACCTTTTACCCATGCGAGATTTGTACATCATGCGTTGATCATCTGGAAAATATTGGTCAATTAAATACGCTTATCTTCTAAACGTTAAATACGCTTATCTTCTAAACGTTGACACACTTCAACACATGAATTTGAAAAATGACATTCTTATCGAAGCACCACCAATCTCACCAGCAAAGTCTTTAGGTAGTGGAGGTGGACACGAGTTTTCCAAAACTCTAATTTTTATCTGAAAGCTGGAACGTTATCATTGACAACAAATTCTATTGTCAGTTGTTTTCCTGGAATTGACAGGCTCATTCTGTTAATTTTCAAGAAATGTCTGACAAATACCCATGTGTGAATAAAGACAGATTGTCTGTCATTCATTCTTTTCAAGTAAAAACGGTATTTCATGAAAAGCAAATAAACAAGAAAAAAACAGGTAGTTAAGCTCAAACTCAAACAATCACAGAACTGCTTTTCCATTAGAGGTACCTCCTATCTCTTCATACAGAAGAGTAAACAGCTGTGCACTCAAGGGTTGAGATGTAATTGAAAAACTTCACTGCTACAACAGACACTTTTCACTGTCACTGTGAGAGGAGAACAAACGACTGTGAGCTCGGTCTGTGCCACTGCCTTGCTTCGTGCTGAAGGCCCCAGCAAATGCACCTGCCTTAAGCTTGGGCACCATCAGTGCAAGTGTCAGTGCGCTGGGGGGGACAAGCACCCCTTATTATTCTGAGAAGAGTCTGTTCTCATACTCCCCACCCCCAAAAGGGCCTTAAGAACCCTCCGCAGTCCGTGAACACTACACCTTAGAAGTTGTGAGTTTAGAACAGTGGTTCTCAACTGGGGCCGTTTTGACCCCCAAGGGATCATGTGGCAATGTCTGGAGACATTTCTGGTTGTCACAGCTGCAGGGGAGGGAGGCGGGGGGTATGCTCCTGGAAGAGCCCAGAGATATTGCTCAATATCCTACAATGCACAGGACTGGCCCCCCACAACAAGGAGTTACCTGACCCCAATGTCAGTAGTACTAAGAATGAGACACCTAGGTTTAGAACAAACAAAAATGTAAAACGGTATTGCTCTATCCTGTAAAGCATTTAAAAAATAACTGCATAAATTCTAATAAGTGGTTATTTCAAAATTCCTTTAGCCATTCTACCATTCAATGATTATGTTATTTCTAAATTTTGCAAATATTAACGTCATGAAGAGCATCTTTATGCATAAGACTTTCTCCATACATGGAACTATCTCCTTATGACTGATTTTAGGACTAACTATATATGTTGCTAAATTATGTCCCAATGTGCTTTAACAGTTGGTATTATCACCAGCAATGGTACGACTGCCAGTTTCACCACGAATGTGATTGTTTCAAAAAGTGATTGTCATTTCTTCTTCTTACCATGAGTTACTTCATCCATGTCTGGACTAGTGACAGAATCTTTACCCCCAAAGTCAGAGCTGCACTCAGATCTCAGGTCTTCAATCTTATTGGGAATATCCTCAGAGGTTGCACTTATACCTTCAAAAAAGCAAGCAAAAATAAACAACAAGAACAAAATAACCACACAAAAAGCACATGAGATTAGGAGAAATGTAAATATTCTTTTTTTTTTGTGACCTAGTTCTATACATGTGAGTTGTTTGGTATTGCATCTTTTATTGTACTACTCCTTAAATACATTTCCCTTGATTTGTACAACATAACCGGAATTAATGTGATATCTAAATACAGCAGGCAGAAGCTACCAAAAACAGATAAAGTTATAGAGGAACACATACAGACTGTTTGCCAGTTACTTCAACATGCTCTATAAAAACCACACATTAAATTCTCACAGATTTAAGGTCCCATAGAAATAATTTTGTTTCCTGGAAATCACTCAGCTCTTAAATGAAACATAACCCTTTGCTATCAACTTTACTAATGGAAAGGTGGGAACACACCTTGAAATCCTTATTCCTTGAAACAAGACAGACATACCCGACACAACACTGAGGCCTGGTGTGCTGGGGCGGGAACTGACCTCCCTGACATCCGTATCATCAGATGTGCTGCCCAGGCCAGAGCAGCTCTCCAGTTCCTGCAGGCGCTCCTCCTGCTTTAGATCTGGGGCCTCTAGAGAGAAGAGGTGAGGTACCTAGCATTAGTGACTGTTAGCATGCCACAGTTTCAGCGTGGGACCCAGAAGATGACAGCTACCAGGATATGAACGAAACCAGTGAAAATAGATTTCTAAGTCTGGGCCAGTTAGCAAAGTTAGTTGGATCAAGTGTTAAAAAATCAAGGTTGTGATTTTCATTCCAGCCGAGGCCAGTTCATTGCGCAAAGATGAAACTGATTCCAGGTCACTAATCTCATTGAATGTGCTCTTGGTTAGTAATGAAACTGAACAAAAGAATATAAAATAACTTAGCATTAAACCAACCGTTTTCTAAAAAACAAATCCTACAGATGCTCAAAAGATAGTGAGGTAATCCTATTGTCTCTTTATATAAAGGTTAGTCAAGTACATCAGACAGAATGTAAATCAGACATACAGTGATTTTTATTTTCTTTCTGGTAGTTGACATTTAGTTGAAGGCAAAGGTTTATCTTCATAATCAGAAAAAAGTAGAAATGCAATATGTAAGAAAAAAGAAAATATAAAATACTTTATATACATTTATAATAATCGTGCACAAAATAATTCTCAGTACACCAGAGCCTCAATTTCAGTGCATTTCAAAAATACATTAGGTGTCTTTTAAAGGGTCAAGTTCTACCCTGGGATAAATATGAACATGCTTACCAGGCATCCAGCCACTCAGGGTTGCTATTTTGTGATTAGTGAGTGGGAGACACTGGACTCAGTGTCCCACACAGAACCCTGATGAGTCGTTACTAACAGTTGCTTCCAAAACAACTGAACACGGAGTCAGAAAGCACCTACCACCTTAGCCTATGCCATCCAACACTGCAGTTTTTCTTGATAAACAAAAAATATCCTAATTTCCCACTTGAAATTCTTAGCAGTAAGATTGTCTCACACTTGTCAAATGTATACCTGACAAAATGCCCATAATACAGAAATTGGAATACCTTATACTTAAAACTTCTGTGCAAATCAAAATGCAAATAACAACAGCATACTAACCTGAGTCACTTGGCAAAACCTCTACACTCCAAGCTTCGCTTGTTGTCTCTGATATGGTAGAGCCAGTGCAGGCGTCAAGAAGCACTGACCCTGACCCTGGCAGGCACAGTAAGCTGCCTAACATGTTCTCTGCGGCTGCACCTGTGTAACCAGTGGGGAGCAAAAGGTTAACAAAGAACCTCAATGGGAAGAGCAGTGACAGTGGAAAAAAGCCAGACACTGAGCTGACAAAATCTCTCTACTCCATCCACAAGAAATAAGCCAAGGTAAGAGTAATTTCAATCAGTAACACCACTCAAAACGCAAATTTCCCATTTTGGTCACAATGACACACGCTCTTTTTCTTCCATTGCCTCCTGTTCACCTTGGACTCTCCATAGAGAAAACACATTGTTAGGCCAAGTCATTTCAACTAGCTTTCAACTTGGTCCTTCAGTAAATTTTATATGGGCGCCTAATATCTCTCTAAAATTTATAGCTCTACAAGGATTAAAAACAGTCAAACAGAGACATTTAACCACATAAAGTTATACTGGCCGAAAATGTTTTCTTCTGGCACATTAGCCATGTATTCAGTCAATAAAATATCTTTGCAGGAAAATACATATTGCCTCTGTAGCACTCATTCAACTGCAAATACAGCTTACTGCTCAAATAGAGCTTACTGCCAGAGAAAATACTAAATACTTTAGCATCTGGAACAAAATAGTGCAGAAAAAAAAATTAAGAAATCTATTTACACTACCCAAAAATACAAACAGAAAGGATTCACTATCATACACCTCTGTTAAACATAACTCAAGTTGAGAACGTTCTACTACTTCTGGTTGAACCTATTAAAAGAACAATTCTACTTCAGTGAATGAAAAAACTTTGGTCCTGGCTGGTGTAGTTTAATTGGTTGGACTGTCATTCTGTAACCAAAGGGTTGCAGGTTCAATTCCCAGTCAGGGCACATTCCTAGCTTGTGGGTTTGATCCCCTGTCCAGGCAAGTACAGGAAGGCAACCAACTGATGCTTCTCTCTTGCATCAATGTTTCTTTCTCTCTCTCAAAGCAATGAAAAAACAAAAATGTCCTCAGATGAGGATAGAGAAAAAGAAAAAACTCTTAGGAAAACATTACTGGTAAAAGTTACCTTTTAAAGATATGTCATGACATAATTAAAAATAAGATGATGTCTGGAACCTGTTTAAACATAATGGGAGAAGGATATAAAGGGTAGTGGGGGGGGGGAGATGAAACAAACTGGCCATGTGCATGTGGAATTGTTGAAGCTGAGTGACAGCTACACAGAGTTCATTATACTATTCTCTTTTCTATTTCTTTAAAATGTTCCATGATTTAAAAAGAAAGTGAAAATGGTGGTTACAAGACCATATGAATCTTTCAGAACTCACAGAACAGTATCTTAAGAAGAGTGAATCTTAATGTTCATAAATTATACATCAATAAACTTAATATTAAAAAAAGAAAGAAAAACACTGGAGGCAAAGGCAAAAAAAACTGTGACAACTCTAACAACATAATCAATAAAATATACTTAAAATTTAAAAAATAAGAAAAAAGCCCTGGCTGGTGTGGCTCAGTGGATTGAGCACCAGCCAGCAAATGAAAGGGTCACCAGTTCGATTCCCAGTAAGGGCACATATCTGGGTTGTGGGCCAGGTTCCCAGAGCGGGGTGCACAAGAGGCAACCACACATTGATATTTCTTTCCCTCTCTTTCTCCTTCCCTTCCCCTCTCTCTAAAAATAAATAAGTTTGTTTTTTTTTTAAAGAAAAAACTGGTTACTTTTAAGAACTGAGTTAATCCTTCCAGAAGTAAATTCAATTTTTAGAGACTCCCAGTATCATATTATTCTGAAAGATTTTATGGCTATAATCTGTCAGAATTTTCATCTTAAGGTAAAGTACAATATTTAGTCTCTAAAGAATATCCTAATCACAGACTAACAATGTACACTATACCCTATAAACAAGACTTGACGAGAAGCTAACTCAAAAGATTCATTTTTCTTTTTGGGGGATATGGGGGGGTGGAGTTAAATGTAATCAGGGAAAACATACCTATATTTACAGTAAGTAAAGAAAAAAATACACAAATGCCTTGTCCGATGCAGTTACCTCAGTTTCCCATTAGCCCTAACACACCCACCACGTTCTCCCACCACGTTTGGAAGAGCACGGACATTCCCTCCCCTGAAGGCAGCGGACGAGAACACCTCAACAGCAATCTTCCAGAGGCATCACACGGCAGTTACCTGCAATTTCTTGCAAGCGATCTTCATCAATGTTAGGGTCAAAATCACTTCCCAAGACATCTGTGCTCCAGGTCTCACTCACTGTTTCTGATATATCCCTATCATCCGTCAGTCCCATCATGTCACGAATTTCAAACTTCCTCAGCTTATCATCCAGATTATCTTGTGTTGTGGCTATCAAAACCAAAAGCAAGCACTTAAAAAATGGTAGCACAGCTATGACTTCTTAATCAGATTTAAGGAACTTTATTTTACATTTTTTATAATTAACACTGAGCACACAGTACCAAAACACTGAATTATTCCCTCACGGACGCAGTCCTGTCCTCTGGAACTGGGCCCAGTGGACAGGGACTTGGGCAGGGACTGGGACAGGGGCTCCTCCTTCGGGTAGGTTAACTGGGGCTACAGATGCAATCAGCTGTCTCCCTCTGTCCACAACCTCTGCAGTGTGACTTTGATCAAGAATCGGGATATCTCCCCTCTCTTTGAATTTGAACAGGCCTTGTAACTTGCTTTGGCCAAAAGGGTAAGGAAAAAGTATGCCAGTGGCCAGGCTAGACCTCAGGAGACATTATAAACTTCTGCTCTCTCTGTCACCTTGCTCCTCTCATGAGAACAAGCTTAAGCTGGCCAGCTGGAGGATGAGGGACCACAGTGGAGCAAAGCAAAGGTCATTCTAGACCAGCCAGCTCCCCACAGTCCAACTGACCACCAGCTAAGATTAGCAGAGCTCCCCACTCGTCCACTGGTGACCGTAGATGCATGAGTGAGCCCTGTCTAAACCAGAGAACCACCCGCCTGACCCACAGACTTGAGAGCAAAAATAAATGTTTACTGTTTTAAGTCACTAAGTTTTGAGGTGGTTTGTTACATAACACTGTGGCAATAATTAAATGATAAACCTATAATAAAAAATATATTTTTCACCCTGGCTCAGTGGATTGAGTGCTGGCCTGAGAATCAAAAGGTTGGCAGTTCAATTCCCAGTTAGGGCACATGCCTGGGTTGTGGGCCAGGTCCCCAGTTGGGAGCATGAGAGAGGCAACCAACTGATGTATCTCTTGCACATCAATGTTTCTCTTTCTCCTTCCCTTTCTCTCTCTCTAAAAATAAACAAATAAAATCTCTAACTGGAATCTGTATTTAATGAGGCCATGGCATTTTCAAAAAGAATTCTCTCCTCAGCAATAATTAAAAAGTAATACTTTTTTTCACTTGACTTGGATACATCCTCCTAATTCTAGAGTTTTCTCTCTTCCCTTGACTAATAAGAAAGAGTCTGCAACTTGCTTCAATTCATGTCTTAATCTAGTGTTCACAAACTGTAGATTGACAACCACCTACATCAGAATGACCTAGAGGGCTTGTTAAGAAGTGACAGTTTTTCAATTTTTGTCTTAAGCTATTATTATTTAGTTTTCTCTGTTGTTTATAGAAAATTTAATCCTAATTGATATGACAACAAATTGATCTATTAAAATATACAATTACTTTTATTCAATATACACATACCCCAACTGGCAATGATCTTTTCTTCTCTAAAATGGACTGAATCAAGATTTCTAAAAATGAGATGTGGGAAACAGACTTTTGTTTTTCACTTCTACTCTCCAGGTAATGTTTAGGCACACTGCAGTCTAAGGATCATTGCCTCAAACTCAGTTAAGGGCCTGTGCCCTCAACACTCCCTTGAAGGGCACCCAATGATCTTTAAATAAACAAATTCAAAGACCCTAAAGACCCTTTTCAAATGAATCTTCCTGAAGCACAACAGGGACCCAGTTGTTTCCCAGTCCTTACCTCCTGCAATTCCCCTAGTTGGCAGTTCCTGCGTAAGCACGGTGTGGATTCCCACCTCTCCGACTGGCTCATACTCCTTCACCTAGAATGCGCTACCTACAGTTTCTGCAATGTAATGCCGGCCAGGCCTTAAGGCCAGTGTTTTCTTCCAATAAGCTTCTCCCTATACTCGCTCACTCAGAACTGCTAAAGCACTCTTAAGATACTTTTAATCGTTTGTGTACCATTCTCTCCCTCTTCTAGGTTCCTTGAGCCTTGAGGTTTTTATCTTTGTACTTCTTAAAATTTTAATATTACAAAATTGAAATACCAAATGTTACAGAATTCAAACAATTCATTTTCATTATTCTATGTAACTTAAGTCTAAACAATTCACTTACCAACTAAATACATCTTTAAGAAATGAAGGAACTATGAATAAATTCACATTTAATGGTCATTATATAATCAACTTAAATTTATTCCTACTGAACACAGCCAACTTACATGGAAACATATTGTTTATGTTTCCATAAACTTCCAGGTAACAGCCTGGAACTTCTCTGCTACTTGCCCAGCTATGTTCCACTTCAGCTTACCTTGCTCATGCTCCAAAAGCTGTAGAGCTTCAACTCCATTACTCCCAGAAGGTCCTGCTCCAAGTTCTGATACAGACTCTCCTTCCAGGTCTAGAGAGGACACTGAATTGGAGCGATTTGAAGGACCTAAAGAAATGTGTCTCCTGTGAGTGAGCTTAAACAGTCATGAGCCATCATGCAATTTTTCATGCCTTGGTAAGAGACTAAAGACTAATAAAGGTGCTTTTAATACTGCATTGATACCTTAAAATATATATGCCAGATTAGGCTTCTAGGAAATTATCCTAAGGAACAATTCAAAAATTCATCTAAGGTTACTTGTATCAGCTTATAAACGGAAAGTGGAAGCAATCTATGTGTTTAATCATAGAAGAATGTTTAAATAAATTATGAAAGAAAACAGACATTAAAAACCATATTATTTAAGAATGTTAAATTATCAAGGGAAATGTTACTGTTATATTGTTAAACAAAAAAGGTTACAAAACAGCATAAACCTAATCTTGCTACAAATAAATCAAAATGTTAACTGTTATTAACAGAATGGTAAGATTACAGATGATTCAATTTCTCTTCAGCATTTTCTAAACATATATTACTTATGTTTTTAAAAATTAGAGGAAAAAGAAACGTTATTACATTTTATGTTTATTTTAAAATGTTAGTAAACTTGAACTTTTTCATTAAAAATGTCTGTCCTAGTACATGGAATGACAGTCTCACTTCTTGTCTTGCTTTTAAATTGAGTTTTTATTCCTATTTTCATCGTATCTTTCTGCTTCATAAAAGGTGTGTGTGAATATACAGAACATTAAAAATACACACAAATCCAGAAATACTCGTGAGTCCATTTTTCTCCACGTAGACATGCACTATATCCCTCTAAAGGAGCTCTATAAGCTTAGATATATATCAATGTTAGAGAAATACACGTTGGTATTACTCAAGTCCCAGTAAAGACTTATATCTTCTCCATTTTATATGACCACAGGTCTCTTGAAATCTTAAAAAATTTTTTTCCTTGCAACCTTAATTTCACTTAAGAAATAGTCTTTCAGCCAACTGTTCAAGATCATTAGAGGAAAACTTCATTACTCTCCTCAGGGGCACAGATGGTATAATTGTAATTTATAAGGCTCCTTTAAAGAACACAAAACAAAATATTACTTCAATCACACAACTCCTTGAATGAAGTAACCCTTCACCTTCAGATATTCCTTCCAGATTATCACTGCAGAGGGAAAAGCGCAAGGTTTTATCAGGTTTACCGTGGAGTTTGTTTTCATCAACAGGGACATCTCCTTGTCCTCCATCCGAAAGTTGCATGTTTAGGACCTAAAAAATAAATGCCATTGTTCTGTCACAACTGAAAGAAAACAAACTGCAGCAAATGCATATTCAAGTTTTTTAAATCTTAAATTATCATTTTAAACTAAAAACCAGTCTGCAAGGTTCTGCTCAAGCTTTTATGTACCCCTAGAAGAAAGTGTAAGTATCAGAAGAAGTGGACCTATGCCCGCCCATCCCACTGCCAGGGCCAGAGCCTGCACAGGCCATCGGACATCGAAGGATCAGCGGTCGGGACTGTAAGAATCAGCAGGCTTTGGGGCAGCAGGCCTGTCCCTCTCGTTCCACCACGTGCCAGCTATTTAATCTTGGGTAAGTTATGTAAACTCCCTAAACCTCAGTGTTTTCACATATGAAATGGTGATATCAGTGTGTTTACCATGGAGATGTTGAGGATTAAAAAAAATGCACATAAAGCATGTGGCATCGTTAAATGACATTAAATTTTCAGTACAGTTTATCAGAATAAATTAAGTTAGCAGGAAGAAAGCATATAAACAAATTATCTTGTAAGCACCAGAACTGACTCAGTCTAGTTTGAACCTCCATTTGATCACCATATACACATGGCCACAAAAGTCCATACCAGAAGCTGATGTGACTTCTAGCCACCTCTAGCTTAGAGCTGATGGCCTTTTTATAATGTTTTCTATTTGTCAGATGATTTCCAAGTAACATAATTACTTTTCACTCGCCATAAGCCTCATAACTCAGCTTTGTATGTGTATCTCCAACTAAGTGAGGAACTGAATGCTTCTTTGGAAAACAGCATGTTTTAAGCACACCTGAACTTGAACTCATAGTCACTGGCTTCCTAGGCTGTTGATGGAAAATGAAGAATAGTACCCTTACTTAAAAAGAAAAAAACAAAACAAAAACAAACAACAAAAAATCCTCTAGGTGCTGTTTAGGTCCTGCACTTAAATGAGTAGATTAAAGTTTTTTTAAATGGCTCTATATATTTACTTGTGTAATTGTATTAAAAAGAATTTTTTCTGTTTGCTTGAAATTAAACACAGCCATAAAAATTTTACATTCTGTATTTTTAAGATAACCCAGACATATAAACTCATAGTAAGTGATATGCAGTGAATGTTCGGGCAAAATCTATCGAAAGACCTAGAGAGTGGTATGAATTAATGAAAACAAAGGGATCAGACCACTGTGCAGACACTTCCCCTGCGTAGGAAGACAGACTGCCCTCTTCAAGGCTGCCACTGTGCTGGGGATTGGGGACAGTTAACATGGTGAGGTAAATGCCACAGAGCTCACTGACTGACACCTTCAGCTGTTTTTTCCCCTCATTAAGCGTGCCCCTAGTTGTTACACGTTTTTTTAAATTACATTCCAGAATTCCTAAAAAGTTGATTCTGACTGTTTTGGCCACCTCATTCATTTTTTGCGGGCATAGAGGGACAGAGTTTAGGAGTTTGACAGACCTCCTTCCTGTGAGTAATGCCATAGTTCCAAACACAGCCAAATACCAACATCACTTTATCAACCACGGTAACAGGTCCCTAATTCTTAAGCCAGGACTAGATGTTTTGAATAGTAAGCAGTCACTATTGAATGTTAAGATGCTGCTTCTTTTTCAAGGGGTCACAATGCCTGAGGAGCGGCTTCTACCTTTACAGACTCTTCTTTCTTTTTGCTCCTGTCCCAAGCTCTTGTTTACCCCCAATTCCCATACCCCAGATCCCATTTCTTCAAAATATTTTTTTAGTTTTCTTTTTGCAGTTATCTCTTCCATTTTTTCCTAACAGGCCAAACAAAGTATTTCTACAGAATATTTGGCTCTTTAAAAGCAGGAATACCACTGGTATATCATTAAAAAGAAAAGAAACATAAAACACTTCCTTACACACCACTGGAAAAGTCTCTTCAATTTCCATACCACAATTTCCTGGCTTCCTGTCTCTTCTATTAACAGGAAAATTCCTTTTGGTATGGACCTGGTCACCAACTACAGGGCCAGAGATGTACTAACATGAAGGGCCTCTAGAACTGTTCACAGGAAGTTTAGCACTTGATGGTGCGTCATGGTAGGCCCACTGAAGATAATGAAAATATTCACCTAATGCATACTGATTCATAGAAGCAGTGACCATTAATGAGAAGAATAGAATCTAAATTTCTTAACATTGGTGGTTATAAGTTAAATGTAACAACACATTCATACCTCATTTTCTGACATCATCCCTGGAGTCAGCTGGGGACCTGTCCCTAACGAAATGACCAACACTTCCTCTGGCTGTACTTCCTGGATGGTTTCTTGAGATGACACTTCATGGTCCATATGTAGGTCCATTAGCACATTGGAACGGCTTCTGCTCCGAGTTGCTAATAAAAAAATTTAAATAAGAAATTTAGAGAAAGAGATAAAATGAAGAAAATGGCACATTAAATATAAAAATATATTTTCTATTAATGTAGAACATTTGCGCATGCACAAAAAAAAGTGGTGAGAATATGAATAAGGAAAAAAAAAACAACTCTGTATCCTCCCAGTTACTCTGATGACTAATACAGATTCTCCTTCAAAACTGACAATCAGAAATAATGACCCATGTTCACCTGACAGACAAACAGATGACCACACCTGCAGAACAGCAAACACGCCCCAATCAATTTAAGACTTGGGATGACAGGAAAAGCATTACCTTATTTCTTATCTGTTCAAGACACCTTCAACTATTTCTCTTATAAAATGATTTAACTGCCACAGGTCTCCCATATTAATAACTCATAAGCACTAGAAAATTTAATATAGAAATTTGATAGCCATATAAAACAATATACATTAATTAGGCAACGTTTGACAAAACCAAAATCAGTTTTTGAAAACATCGTTTTTCCTGAAATGTATTAACCTCTTTCCAAAGATGGAGGAGTGATTTCCCTATGTTTGAATACAAGTTTCCTTTTTGCCTACTGGAAATGTTTGTTATTAATACAGGATACAATTTTTGGGGAATTTTTTTCCCTATGTAATACTTTTTTCTAAAATCATCCATCCTATAGAACTTCTAAAAGATCTGGATAATTGGTAGTAACTTCTGAGTTTTAGTTTTCTGTGATAAATTTCAATTTTCTTTCAGAGGTCAGTAAAATTCACTAAAACCAGAATACTTAGAAATTCTATTTCAGTGCAAAATCATCAAAAGTACAGGCATAGAGCAATACACTCTACAATAACAAGCCTTTCAACTTCATTTTGAGTGAAAAAGACAGAAACATAAACAATTGTCTTCTCTCCCCAGTGCTGTACATCTGTTCATTAATCACTCTTACTTTCAAAATTCAGGGCACACATCAACTTTCAAAAGTCAGGTTCACCTCACTATCTTCTGCTGAATTGTGAACTGACACATTCAACTTCACGAACTACATGAATTTTAAGTAATGAACTTCATCATTTATAAAAACCAAGTAAGTAATCAAAATTCATGTAACAATTTACACAAAGCAAAAGCAACATGCACATGGAGCACATTTTATAAACTATTTCTTATCCGAAGTTACACAAGAAGAGGAAGAACAGCCTATTACCCACCAAATGGGGCTACTAGAGTAATATGAGCAGTGAGATTGGTGGCTGAGGGGTCCCAGGCAGCGATGGCTGCTAACTGTTGTCCTGGGTTGCGGAAGCATTAAACAGAAAGAAAGTCAACCCTCTGAATAATGGACACATTTTTTAAAATATGAAATAAATTCAATGACCAGGTCACATGATTATATAAAATAATACTGGGCAAACACTTGAAGTTTACTTTCTATTATATCTATATTTAATGATACTTCTGGATGATATGAAATGAAAGAACTAAAGTATAGGAGTGAATGTGTAAGAAAAAAATCTCTAATTTACCAAAAATCATTTATTTCTTCATGTTAAAAAAGTGCAAATAGCCTATAATATTAAAAATCATTGAGTGTCAAGCTTTACTTTTTTCTATTTTTAATTCTGAAAAATGACATTTTGGAATGATGAAAGCCAGAGACTTGAAGAACATGATGCCATATTCCTGCTGATATCGTTCCATACTTTGTTAAATGTAAGGTACATTAATTTTAAGAAACTGACAGTTCTTAACACATCAGCTCACGGAAGTTTAAATGTGAAATTCCGTTCTTCAAAATATGTAAAATACAGTAACTATTCATGTTCACTATTGTTGAGCTCCTCATTATCATTCAAAAACTGGCACTAAACTACTCCGCTCCATTGGCCTACACACTCTTTCCCTGTCTTGTTTACTTTGTGTAACTCCCTTTCATCCCTCAAAAGAAAGTGCAGGCTTTGCCCGCTCCAGGGTCCCCCTCTCTGGGTGTCCTGGTAATCTTCTATGCTCCCCTCCATCAAACACTCAGTTCACTGAAGGACACTGCTCTCTTGTTTTCCCCAACTAGACTATCAGCAGCTGACTTCAAGTAGGGACATGCATGTCCTAAGATCTATGTATCTTCACTGTCTAACACAGCACCCAAACTGCAGGATCATGATTACAATACCTACTCTTTTAGTGTGGATTTTGTGCATGGATTAAATGAAACAACATTTACAAAGCGCTTACCCAGTGTCTGGTGCCACAGTATATGCTCAATTAATTTTCTGTTGCACATCTATAGATAACAGATGTTTACTAAGTGAATAAAACTTAAGCCTAACTCATATGTAAGTACATAAATAACTAAGTAAAATGGAACTTTTGCTTTATTTTGTAAAATAACTAGATACCTTAGCTCAGCTGATAAGACTGATTATTAATAACAATAATGGAAAAATAGTACCTATGTAGTTTCAACTTTACTGATCGAAACTTCTAATATCACTTTATTATATTATTTAGAACTTTGTAGAAAGGACAGGGCTACATAATTCAAATAATGACTGTTTGTAACAAATGACACTATTAAAATTTTCCAAGAAGAGACACTAAAATATAATGTGTACCACAGTTGGCATGATTTCAATTAATTATGAAAAATGTCTAGATAAAGGGAAAGCCTACCGCTAAACCTTAATTAATCTAGTGCAATTACAAAAAATTGAATTACTATCAGTACACATGAAGACAGATGTTCCCAAATTATTTAAAACTATATTTCAAAACACTGAGCAATAACAAAGGCTAATAAAGAAATATTAAATTTCAGGCAAAGCCCCAATATGAGAAAGTCTCTTTACCTATAGGCAATCGGTTCTTTTTATTTGCTGGAGTGGTTGCTGGAGACAGCTGAGGAGTGTTGTAGGGAGTCATTTCCAAACTGCTGCTTTTCCAGGGCTTTGCCTGGGGTAGGTTTGCCAATAAATTGTCTAGAGCCATTCTGTCCTCTCTCAGTTGATCTCCAGACATCACACTCTTCATAAAATTCACCTGGCAAAAATAAAAGGACATTAGCTAGTGAAATCAATTTTTCGAACACAATATATATTTCTCACACAATGTACTCATCTATGACTCTGCCATGTGCAGATAAATGACTTCTAAGAAAATCCTATTAAAGAATAAAGCCATTACCAGAGTAATAAGCTGGCTGTAGGTTATATAAACCACAGTTCTGCTCAACCCTTCCAGAAGATTAACAGAGGACATTGGAGGGGTCTCCACTGCACGGCCCCCAATCACAACATCAAGGAAAGCAGCAACACAGCTCTGTCAAAACAGGAAAAGACCACAGTGAAAGACCTCCTCATTAAAATAAGGGAACAAAATTTTTTGTTAAGGTGGACAAGCAATGCAAAAAGTCTTCATCTTAAACGTTATGTTAAACCCAACATTAAAAAAATTGAACTCTCTATGAACTGATATAGAATAATCTCCAAGGTACTCTGGTACACGAAACAAACATGATAGAGAACGGTGCACACTGACGCCCTGCGCAGGTAGCTCAGCTGGTTGGAGCACTGTCCTGCTACTCCAAGGGTGTGGGTTCAATCTCCAGTCAGGGCACATACAACAAAGAATCAACCAGTGAATATACAAATATGTGGAATAACAAATAGATATCTCCTCTCTCTGTTTCTGTCTCTTCCTCTCTCTCTCTCTCTCTAAAAATCAAAACCAAACAGTGCACATTGTTGTACTATTTGTGAAAAGGGAGGGATGAGTGACAGGAAAATATATGTAGGAATTGGCGTGTGCACGTGTGTGAGAGAGAGAGAGAGAGAGAGAATGTATACACACACACCTCTTGGAGCATACACAAAATACGTAATGTCAAGAACCTCTTGGGGAGGAAATAAAGGCTAGAGGTCAGAGGTGGAAGGGAAATTCTACACTATAACTTCTGAATTTTAAAATAGGGTGAATGTCGCCTACTCAAATATGATTAAAATTGTATTTAATTCAACGAACTGAACAATACCACAATCATTAACTTATGAAATATACTTAAAATTATATAGCTATTGCTGATTTGATTTAGTGACAATTTTTTTTTAATTCATCTTCGTAAAATAAAAATCTTAATAGCTCCTTGGTTCTTATTGTAAGAGCATCTCCTCAGCACTTCCATAAGCGAGAATTAGTAATCTTTAGTGACATCTTCCTTTAAATGCTGATCCAACTTTACATGCACTATAACTGTACCAAAGAGTCATTGAAAGAATATTTAATCCTTTATCCATCTCCTAAAAACAAGATTTAAGAAAGAGAGCAGTCAGGCGCATTAATACTTTGGCAGACTGTTCTATAAACAGCATTTCCCATAGCATATTACTCGTTCTTACTTTGTCAAATTTTCCAAGGCTGCCCTTTGTCCGGGGATCTCCCTCTTCAGAGCCGGTCATCGCCAGTTGCTGCAAAAGGCGGCCCACCTGCAACCCAAAGCAGTGGTGGGGACACAGCTATAGACACAAAGTGCTCTCTCTAAGAGAGCACTTACATTCCATTCTAAAATCTGTTTAATAATAATAATCACACCACCCGATCAGACATACAAAATAGGGTCACGACTGTGTATCTTGTGAACATCAGGTTTTACTCTATTTAGAGTTAAACAGAATAAGTAGAACATTTTGTTTTAACTTCTCTTTCAATGTATTATATCAAATTAGAAAATAAAAATACACCTTTCTTTCTGACACTGCACTTTTCATGTGGTCAGAAATTTTAAAATTAATTTGTAAAAGCTGACTCAAACTGTATCAAGTTACTTGTTAAATACTTTTCCATATATTGTTTACAAAGTACTCAAGGTAGATTTTTCCCCTTAGTTTAGAAAGCAAAGAATTTTTACAAAGCATATGCTGGAAAGTAAACATGAATCCAAAGAGCAAGTTCCTTACTGCCAAAAGTGAACTGTTAATCCACTCCCTTTAAAGACACTCTGCTGAAAGTTAACATCATATAGCATCATCTATTTAATATCTGGGACAATCCTCCTCCCTTACTACTCATTTTGAAAATATGTCATTCAATCTCTGTTGAAATGACAAAAATAAAAACTACAAGTGCATTATCATAAGAATAACTTTCATATTTCACAGATGATGAAAAAATTTTAATTTTATTTCAGGTATTTCATTATAGTTAATTGCTCAGCACCTCAATATGATAGAATTGATCATGAAAAAAAGCTTAGCATTTAAAAAAAAAACTCATCCAAAGATTCCATTACAAATAAACTCAGCCTCTTCTTCACAGTATTTCTGGGTAATAAGGTATGATGAAAAGATTCCCAAAAGAAGTAATAACATGATTTCAGTACTTCAGATAATTAGAGGGGGGAAAAGTGCACAGGTCCAAAAATCCTTTCTGAAACTCTTTGTTCCAAAAGAGTTTCATATTTCAAACTTTGGAAATTTTAGGAAGGTCAGTCAGTACATATATGTAACATGTCCAGTATTTAGGGTATCATCCTATAATCAAACACATTAACATTTTTGCAGCAAAAAATGTGTTTGTTAGCACTAAATGGAATAACAAAAAATTACAAATAGACTCATGTGAGCTCAGACTAGGTTTTGCTACAAAATGAAGTATAAAAGACTCAGTTTTCAATCATTCTGGATTTTTAAATCATGGGAAGTGGGCTTCTGAAAGTCCAATCAAGTATACATTCATGTGTGTGAAGACTCCATTTAAAAACACAAAATGTTTTATGACAACAGTATTTTTAAATCCCAATATGACTGCTTTTATTTCTTAAGAAGCACGTATTGTCCTGGCTGGGTAGCTCAGATGGTTAGAGCATCATCCTGACATGTCACAGATGTGGGTTCAATCCCTGGTCAAGGCACACAATAGAATCAACCAATGGCCCTGGCCAGTGTGGCTCGGTTGGTTGGATCATTGCCCTGTAAACCAAAAGGTGGCAGGTTCAGTCCCAGTGAGGGCACATACCTAGGCTGAGGGTTCTGGCCCTGACTGGGGAGTGTACAGAGGCAACCAATGGATGTTTCTCTCTCACACTGATGTTTCTGTTTCTCTCTCTCTCTCTCTCTCAAAACAATGAAAAAGAGTCCTTGGTGAGGATTAAAAAAGAAAAGAGTCAACCAATGAACGCATAAAGAAGTGAAGAAGTTGATGTTCCTCTCCTCTCTCTCAAATTACTTTAAAAAGGAGCAAATATGTAGGACAGTCTAAGGAAAAAGAATGGTAAGAATCTATGCATACTGCCATCATATTTTCTGTTCCCACCCCCACTGCGTATTTAAACTGAATGCCACATTAAAAATAATAGCAAAAGCGTACCTGCATCAGATTGAATCTTGCTACCTCATTAATAGGAGCATCAGAGATTATTCCATACTGTTCTGGATTGACAACGGCAGGACAAATGAAGTAGGCCAGCAGGAGATCAGTACACATTGCCCTGACTTCCCCGACTTCCAGCCTATCTACACAGGACAGCGTTTTGTACATCTGTGACACAATCCACCTCAGACTATGCGGAAAGCAGTATGTGTTCTGTTTGAGATAACCAATAAATTTGTTCACCAATGCCACCAGCTTGGCCTCATTGGAATCCACCATCTCTTGAACCTTTTGCCTGAATCGATCCGAGCCTTTCTCTCCAAAGAGTTTTTCCTGTTGAGATGGGGAGAACCTCTCTATTAGCTTATTTGGATCTGTTTCCAGATGATCTTCATCTTCCACAAGCAGTTGCATGATTGGCTCATGTAAAGTAGCTGTGAGGAAAAGTTTGGCAGAAAACAGTCCTTCGGAGAAAAGTTTAAATAAGATGCTGAAGGCACAAGTTCCTCTCCTCAAAAGTCGCCTGGGGTTGTCACTTTCTTTAAGTTCAAATTCAATCAAGTATCTCAAAACCTGAAGGAGGTAGCTTTCATCTTCTTGCATTATGCAGTTGCCATAGAGGGAGGTAAAAACTGTGTAAATAACACTTTGTGTGTTCTCCTGATTAAGTTTCTCTCCAGCAACCAGAGAGGAGGCAATAAGACGAGGGTTTTCCCTTAATCGACTCAAGAATTCTCCATAAGCAGTCTCCTGAAATCCTAATTGCTTATACCCATCAACAAACTGTGTATCTTCCAAAATCTTGGCATGTTGGCAACATTCAGCAGGGGAAGCTTCAGCACTAAAAAATGAGCAAGCAAACAAAATAATAAAATTAACAACAATTACAACACATACTCTATACTGAAACATGGAATGTGAGTTGATTATAGTTCCAGCAATGAGATCAATCTGAATTGCTAAAATCCTTTAGACCACCAGCACCTAAATGTGTAAAGAAAGGGAGGAAAAAAGTACAAACAAGAACAAATTCCTCACATTAAGACAGTTCACTGAAAAGTACCAGGAAGTAACTATTTTTCTGATTTCTTTCATCAAAGACTAGGTCTGCCTCATTCTGAACTTCACATAAATGGATTCATACAGGGCATGTACTCTCCTGTGTCTGGCTTCTTTTCTCAAGATTATCCCTCAGCACTACTATTCTTAGAGTTGAAAACTGCTTTTTGGAACAACAGAACATGAGGTATTAACACAGTGAAAAACAAGGTTTCTAAAACTGAGAAGTGGCTATACAATAGCAAAACATGGAAATGTACATATTAAAATGTTATGAAAAAAGTAGAACACAAGATAATTTACTCTCTACGCTAATAAAATGTATATGTACAAAGATACAAATTTCATTGGTGTGGTATAAAATACTAATGCTTGAGTAACAGTGCTTAAGTGATTTAATAAACAAAATTAGCAAAAACTCAGCTTCATGTTGATCTAAGCTCTTAAACCAAGCATTTTGTTGGAAATAGATTCATTTGTTTACAGTTATCAGTTAGCACAGAACCACAGTGGTTTATAAAAAGACAGACCTCAAAATCCTTTCTTTACCTGGTTATGATAAGCCGATCCAAATTAATTCTCTGTTGTTTAGCAATCCATGCTGTACGATACAACTTCTCAGCGGTCTTAAGCACATCTGCATTGAGCCTCTGAATGAGCTGTTTCTCAGAGTTTACATACAAGCGTTCCTGCTTGAGGTGATGGGCCAGAGTATGAATATCTAACTTCACCATCTTCAAATGTGGAAGAGGTACAAGAGCTGATCACTAAGAGTAAGAAGACAAATTTTAAAATGTTAGGTTACAAAAATTGTTTTCTGAATCAAAATGGGTCAAATACATTAAGAATAAAGCTACATTTAGTAGCAAGCTTAACTCAAATTTTAAAGTAATCTATGTATTTTTTTATTACAGAAGCATTACGGGTTCAGTATAGAAAAACTGGTCAGTACAGATAAGCAAAAAGAAGAGCTCCTAAAAAAGGCCAGTGCTCAGAGACGGCCACTGCAAAAACCCTATGCATGCATATCCTTCAAGTCCAGTGTCCACTCATCAACACTGTAGCTTCCCTGACTGCTCTTTCACAGTGCAGTCAGTCAACACATTCTGTTGACTCTATCTTCAAAATACATCTCAAATATGACTACTTCTCACCATCTTCATCATCACCTCTCACCTGAAGTTCTATACCCAGCACTTCCTAACTGATCTCCCTGCTTCCTTCCTTACACAACTAACAACTAGACTGTTCTTTCCACAGCATAGAGTAACCTTTCAGCTTCAGTCAGCTCACACTATTCCCCTACTAGAAATCGTCCAAAGCCTCAGCATTTGCTGATCCCTCTGTCTCCAGAAGTCTAGTCCTCCAGGTATCTTTGCAAGGTTACTTCATTCAGGCCTTTACTTCATGCAGGTCTCTCTGCTCAAAGGTCTATTTAAGCAGGTCTTCTCAGATAACTCTTACTAAAATAGAAAATATCACTTCCTATTCCTTCTTCTGGTCCTTTTTAAAAGCACTTCCCCGTATCTATAACTGTATTACAGTTCTACTTGCACGCTAATCATGCTTAAAGCATGGCCGCCACAAAGGTTAAAGCCACCAGGGCCAGGGCTCGCTGATTTTGTTCACTCACAGCTGTAACTTCAGGGCTGAGGAGAGGGCCTGGTTCACAGCAGGAGTTGAAGAAATATTTGCCAAAGGAATGAATGATATCACACAATTCTTGTTTATCTAGTAGCTAAATAAACTGATTAAAATAGCACACATATTTTAAAGCATTATTACTTAAGCTATGCCCTTGAACCTAGAATGCCTGCCAGACCACAAATGTTTTATATCAACAATAGAAGTGCCTGTGGCCCAGATAGCAGAATACAATGCTGTGTCCAGACAGCAGGCAGTCATTAAACTAGAAAAATCCTTCTCATTAAGAATTAAACATTATGATTCTATACTCGAAAGTTGCTGTGAGAATAGAGCTTTAATGTTCTCACCATAACAACATGAAAACAACACAAGAAAATGATAATTATGTGAGGGGAAGGATGTGCTGAATAAACATTACTGTGGTAAACATTTTGCAATATATATATATCAGATCATCACATTATATGCCTTAAATGTATATTTCAATTACATCTCAATAAAGCTAGGGGGGAAAGTGGTTCCAGCCAATCAGATTCATAAGAGACCTTAATGGATCTACCGGGAATTGATCAAATACAATTTATAGTGAATTTATATTCTCAAAGAGAAGACAACCTAGACCACAGAACTCTCAGTGTGTTTAGAGATCCAATGAAAACATGTTCATATGTATAAAATATACAAAAAAAAAAAATTAAAACATTATAGCGCCAGCTGAAAATATAATTAAAGCCAAATTATTTAAAGAGGTAGATTTAACAACTTTCAAGTAAGTTTGGTTTCAGAAATGTTTTAACTTTCTTTTATTTTAACGAACTATTGATGACTAGGAAAATTTCAGATATGACCATATAATCTGAATTTAATTGCTTTCAAGAAATACTTTCTTGTACCTTATCAATTCCCTAATCAAACCACGCAGAGATGTTATATCAAATCTCCTATATGGTTAAAGCCCCCAACTGCTTTCCTCTCAATAGATATACATATGTCTACTTCACGAAGATAATTCACTATTAGTCACAAGGACATATGTGTACATTCAAAAAATTGGTGACATGCGTACATACACATCTATAATCTTACTAACTCAGTCTACAGAAAACACATAGTAGACATCCATGTGGGAACTCTAAGATCCTCTAGGGGGCTCTAAGTCTGTAGACTAAGAACAGAATTATTGAACAAATGGTTATAATTATGACAAGTATTATAGTTAATGGAAACAATACTGAAATGGGCCCTTAAAGATCAGTGTGCTTCATTAATTAGTTGTTACCTTGGGTACATAATGCAAATTCTCTGAACCTCAAATTTTTTTCATCCACAAAATATGGACATGGTATCTGCATTTATTTCGTGCCTGGTACAAGCAACATATCAGGTCCTAGGGACACAAAAAGAAAATAAAAACTAGTGTGTGCCCTGCAGAACTTTTTAATCTAGTAGAATGAGGCAGATATGCAAACAAATGGTGCCCCAAAATGTCATGAGTATTACGCTATTACCCATAAGACCACAATGTAGAGTAGGGACAAGAGAGACGGAACGACCGAGGAGCTGGATACCTACACCTAGTCTTAAAAGACAAGTATCTGGCCAACATAAAGAGGATGGTAAATGGGGTAGAATTCTAGATAGAGGAAGCCTGCCAGCAAAGGCACAGGGTATGCAACAGAATATATTTAGAAAGCTAGGCGTGGCATGCTAGTTTAGGGGCACATGTGTTTGTGTGTTAAGAGTGTGGTGTGGGGGGCGGGGAGAGTATGTATAATGAGAGATAAGGCTAGAGAGACAGAAGGTGCAGAGAAGCCAAAGTTAAGAAACTTGAACTGTAGGTGATGGGAAAAGTTTTAAAGGGAATTCACTTGATTAAATTTGTATTTCAGAGCATAAACTCTGGCAGTAAGGAAAAGGATGAGGAGGTAGAAATGGAACTATGGAGATGGTACTAGAGGAAGAGAGATTAAGAAACTGTGGATAGGCAAGCCATGTTGCAGTAGCAATGGAAAGAACAGGACGAATTTGGGAGATATGGGGAGGGAGAAATGAGATTTGATGACACCTACATATGGGGGAGGTGAAGTAGAAGTTTCCTTCTCGGGGACAACAGTGGGTGTGGTGTTCTTCACCACAGCTGAGTATCAAATGAGGAAACACTTCATAAACTGAAAATTGTGTCTGGTATGGTTCTAAGAACTTCACACACTTAAACTTCATGATATCCCTCTTAGATAGGTACTTGCAAAGAAGGAAACTGAGGTCAGGGATATCAAATAACTAGCACAGGCCACATTAGTGAAAGGTGATAGAGCCCGTAAACTATTATTATTACCTGATCTCTACAAAAATGACTCAGATGTCCTGAGGTTAAACAGGAAAACATCGACCCTGGCCAGGTAGCTCAGTTGGTGAGAGCATCATTCCAATACACCAAGGTTGTGGGTTTGATCCTCAGTCAGGACACATACGAGAATCAACCAATGAATGTACAATTGAAACAACACAATGATGTTTCTCTCCCTCTCTCCCCCGGCCTCCTTTCTCTCTCTTTAAAATTCAATATAAAATACTTTTTTAAAAAACAGAAAAATATGTTATTTTTTAAGAGGCACATGCACAAGTATGTAGAAGTAAATTGTTAGGATTTTTGTAACTTGTACATGGTTCAGAAAAACATGATTTAAAAATACAGCAAAATGTAAACAATTTTTGAATCTGGGTGGTGGGAATATGGTGCTTACTGTAACCATTCTTCAACAGTTTCTGTGTGCTAGAAAATTTTCATAATGATAGGATGGGAAAAAGGATTTTAGAAATTCTAAAACTGTGCCCTTCTTGCCGCTTTAATACAATTTAAAATTCAACAAAAAAAAATTATTGCATTGTGCTGGTGCCTAGCCAGGTCCCCTAATCTCAAGAGCTCACAGTCTAACTACAACCAAAATACTGTTCAAGATAGAGGTGACACATTAAATGTTTACAATGTCTCAGCAAAATATAAACCAATTTATACAACTTTGAAATTAAAACCTCCAAATGTAGCTTCGGTTAAAAAAATTAACACTTGAAAGCTCCACCTAAACAAGAACTCACCTTCCAAACCCTTCAACAGTCCCAAATATCTTCAAATACAGTTTTGTAGACACATTTTAAATAAACAAGAACAGTAGACAAACTTGTTAAGAACTTTTTCTTTAATCTACTTTGAGAATTATAAGCTTTATTGCTTTCCTTTCTATAATAAGCTGGTCAGAATGTTGTCAAATAACAGGTAGTGGTTTACCCTCTAAAACAATACTTTAAAAGAATTTTTTTCTTAGCCCTGGCTCCGTGGACTGAGTGCCAGCCCATGAACCAAAAGGTTGCCAGTTCAATTCCTAGTCAGGGCACATGCCTGGGTTGTGGGCCAGATCCCTGGCTGGGGGCATGTGAGAGGCAAACAACTGATGTTTCTCTAACACATCGATGTTTCTCTCCCTCTCTTTCTCCCTCCCTTCCTCTTCCTTCCTCTCTCAAAAATAAACATAAAGATTTGAGAGAGGAAGGAAGGGGAAGGGAAGGAGAGAGAGAAACATCGACTGTTTGTTGTTCCATTTATGTATGCATTCACTGATTGGCCCTGACTGGGGATCGAACCCACAACCTTGGCATATCAGGACAACACTCTAACTGAGCTACTCAACCAGGGCCAGTATTTAAAACAATACTTTTTTTAAAATCACTGTATAAATGTATAATGCTCTCACTGCCACATACAGGAAAGAGTAAACCACCAGGTAAAATGAAAGAGATTTAAATATGAATTATTAACTTTGATCTATATTTTTGCCCCCCATTTACCTGAATTAAATTCATACCCTGCATACTACTGTACACAATGTGTAGCACATGCCAGAGTATAATATTATATCTCTGTCTCTCCCATTAGATGGTAAACACTGAGGGAAAGAACTCACTCAGTTTTGCCTTCTGGCATCGCTTGTGGCAGGTAGGAGAAGCTCAAACATGTTAATTCAGGTAGCACCAAGTCAATTCGTTTATACATTGAAAAAAAGTAATACCACATACATAAATAATCATTTCTAACAGGTCACCACTTAAAAACAACAGTTGCTGCCCTGGCTGGTGTGGCTCAGTGAATTGAGCGCCGGCCTGCAAACCAAAGGGTTGCCAGTTCAATTCCCAGTCAGGGTACATACCTGGGTTGTGGGCCAGGTCCCCAGTGAGGGGTATGTGAGAGGCAACCACACATTGATGTTTCTCTCCCTCTCCTTCTCCCTCCCTTCCCCTCTTTAAAAGCAAATAAATAAAATCTTAAAAAAAAAAAAAAAAACCGTTGCAGAAAAGCATTTGAGAATTTTAAGAGGTAGAGAGGTTAGCCACCAGGACTAGCTTAAATAAATATAGGCATGAATAACTGAATGTGGGGAGATTTTCACCATATCGAAGACAACAGGAAGTACAAACACTGGCAAAAAATTCATTGCCTGAAAAGAACAGTAACAGCCCTGCCTGGAGTGGCTCAGGGGACTGAGTGCCGGCCTGCAAACTAAAGGGTCGCCAGGTTGATTCCCAGTTAGGGCACACGCCTGGGCTATGGGCCAGGTCCCCAGTAGGGGACATGGGAGAGGCAACCACACATTATGTTTCTCTTTCTCCCTTCCAGTCTCTAAAAATAAATAATAAAAAAAAATTTTTTTAAATAAACAATGTCAGGCTAACAATAACAATAATAATATCAAAGTAACATTCATTTAGGACTTTATTAGGACAGGCACTTTTTTTTTCCCTCACCAAATCCTCATAACTCTATGACAATTGTACTCATTTGACAGTTGAGAAAAGTGTTTGCATACCTAGTAGTAGCTACGTCAAAATTCAAATTGAATCAGTTCTGTCTGACTTCAAAGCAGCCCTTGATCTCAACCAACTAATCTAAACATTTTGTCAGTAACATCTACCTTAATTTCCAGTTCTGTTAATAACTGACTCCTTAAAGTTCCTTTCATCTATTGGTTTTTATAGAACTTTATCTGGCTTCTAGTGACACCTACTTCATTTGAGTTGATACTCAAATGTCATTTAAAATACAGGTGCCCCCAACCCGCACCTCTTGGCTAATTAAATTCTTTATTTCCCCCACCTGCTAATCATCTTAACCTCAAGATACAATCCAATCACCCAAGATTCAAAAATCTCCACAAACAAACATAACCATTTGCACCCTAAAACTAGCAACTGTCCCTGGACCTTCCCATGCTCTGCCACGGCATGAACACACTCCTAGTCTTAAAACTTAAGACTCCTCCTTTCCCTCAGCAGTAGTCTGCACCAAATTTTATTCTCTATCATTCTTTATAACTCCTCCGTAAAACCCAAATTTAGTCCCAGGAATCCGGACAATGGAAAAATTAATGTGTTTCTCTCTCCAATCTATCTTACACTGACAGGTTAGTATTTTCAAAGTACCAATTTCATATACAAGGTCCAAATGGAAAAAGTCGAGCCATTGTTATTATTACAAAAACAAAAAAAACGGACAAAATCTTGTCCATTTACTATTTCACGTTGACGTAACCTGGCAGCCAAGGAGAGTGGACTGGAATGCGCATGCATGAACAATGACGACTCCACTGTACTAGTCAGCGGGGGCGGTAGAGGCTGTTGAGTGAGCATGTGTACTGTGTGGCTGTCTCATTCAAAATGACTGAGCGAGTAAAGCAACAAATCTGCATCAAATTTTGCGTTAAGCTTTAACATTCCTCTGTGGAAACTATTCAGGTAATTCAGAAGGCCACAGCTATGGGCAACTGGTGATTGGCAGCTTCATCACAACATGCCCGCTCATGCATCATGTCTCATGCAGAGTTTTTTTGGCAAAAAATCAAATCACCCAGGTGACTCAGGCCCCCTGCAGCCCAGATTTGGCACCCTATGATTTATGATTTTTCCCCCAAACTAAAATCATCTTTGAATGGGAAGAGATTTCAGACCCTTGATGAGATTCAGGAAAATATGATGGGGCACCTTATGACAACTGGGAGAACAGTATGAGGTCCCAAGGTGCCTACTTTGAAGGGGATTGAGGCATGATTGTCCTATGTACAATGTTTTTTGTATGTTGTATCTTCTTCAATAAATGTCTCTATTTTTCATATTATATGACTGGATACCTTCTGCACAGACCTTGTAAACCTTACCAGTCCCTCCAAGTCCCTTTTAAAAGCCACTAATGACTTCTCTATAGTGTCAGGACATACTAAATCATCTGCAGAAGTCAGAAGGGAGCCTATGTGCTCAATTAAGACCATCTCTTGATTAATTATCCAGGCTTCCAACAGCAGGAGTCAAAAAAGGAAACCCCAGAAAACTCTGCATGCCTGT